TTGATCAAATATGATTGATATCCAGTGCACAGTTCTACAGAAGAAGTCGTTTGTAGCAATATAGCCAAATTGCCCCCTTTTGGCCCCGCCCGTAAGCCCCCTGGGGAGTCAGCCCCACCATTTGTAAAATTTTCAATTACCATCACCTAGGGATGGTTCCAGTCAAATATGGTTGATATCCATCACTTAGTTCCAGAGAAGAAGTAGCTTAAAGCAGTATAGCCAAATAACCTTTTTCGGCTCAGCCCCCTGTGGGGTCAGCCACACCATTTGTACAATTTTGAATCTCTACCTCTCATAAATGCTTTTAATCAAATATGATTGATATCCAGTGAATAGTTCTACAGAAGAAGTCGTTTGTAGCAATATAGCCAAATTGCCCCCTTTTGGCCCCGCCCGTAGGCCCCCTGGGGAGTCAGCCCCACCATTTGTAAAATTTTCAATTACCATCACCTAGGGATGCTTCCAGTCAAATATGGTTGATATCCACTTCTTAGTTTCAGAGAAGAAGTCGCTGAAAGCAATATGGGCAAATTGACCCTTTTTGGCCCAGCCCTTCAGCCCCCTGGGGGGTCAGCCCCACCATTTGTACAATTTTAAATCCCCACCACCTAGGGATACTTCCAGTCAAATTTAGTTTAATTCCAACCAATGGTTAAGAAGAAGTCGTTTAAAGAAATTGTTGACGTACGGACGTACGTACCTACGTACGGACAGACGGACGGACGACGGACGGACGACAGACGGACGACGGATGCCACGGTATGGCATAAGCTCACCTTGGTCCTTCGGACCAGGTGAGCTAAATATACTGGTGCCACAGTCAGGCAATCAGGTAAGGTAAGCAACGTCTGTATCACACATGGCTTCCGTCACAAATAGAATTATACTGGTGCCAAAGTCAGGCAATCTGGTAGGGTAAGCAACGTCTGTATCACATATGGCTTCCGTCACAAATAGAATTATACTGGTGCCACAGTCAGGCAATCTGGTAAGGTAAGCAACATCTGTATCACACATGGCTTCCGTCACAAATATAATTATACTGGTGCCACAGTCAGGCAATCTGGTAGGGTATGCAACATCTGTATCACACATGGCTTCCGTCACAAATAGAATTATACTGGTGCCACAGTCAGCCAATCAGGAAGGGTATGCAATATCTGGATCACACATGGCTTCCGTCACAAATAAAATTATACTGGTGCCAAAGTCAGGCAATCTGGTAGGGTATGCAACATCTGTATCACACATGGCTTCCGTCACAAATAGAATTATACTGGTGCCACAGTCAGGCAATCTGGTAAGGTTAGCAACATCTGTTTTACACATGGCTTCCGTCACATATAGAATTATACTGGTGCCACAGTCAGCCAATCTGGAAGGGTATGCAATATCTTGATCACACATGGCTTCCGTCACAAATTAAATTATACTGGTGGCACAGTCAGGCAATCTGGTAAGGTTAGCAACATCTGTATCACACATGGCTTCTGTCACAAATGGAATTATACTGGTGCCACAGTCAGGCAATCTGGTAAGGTAAGCAATATCTTTATCACACATGGCTTCTGTCACAAATAGAATTATACTGGTGCCAAAGTCAGGCAATCTGGTAAGGTAAGCAACATCTGTATCACACATGGCTTCTGTCACAAATGGAATTATACTGGTGCCAAAGTCAGGCAATCTGGTAAGGTAAGCAACATCTGTATCACACATGGCTTCTGTCACAAATAGAATTATACTGGTGCTACAGTCAGGCAATCTGGTAGGGTATGCAACATCTGTATCACACATGGATTCCGTCACAAAGACTTCTTTGTATACAAATCTTAAACTAGACAAAGTAAGGTTACTGGACAGGACAAGGCTACTTTGTATATAGATCTAGAACTAGACAAAGTCAGGTTACTGGACAGGACAAGTCCACTTTGTATATAGATCTAGAACTACACAGTCAGGTTACTGGACAGGGCAAGGCTGCTTCCTATACAGATAAAGAACTAGACAAAGTCAGGTTACTGGACAGGGCAAGACTACTTTGTATATAGATCTAGAACTAGACAATGTCAGGTTACTGGACAGGGCAAGGCTGCTTTGTTTATAGATCTAGAACTACACAAAGTCAGGTTACTGGACAGGGCAAGTCTACATTGTATATAGATCTAGAACTAGACAAAGTTTCCACTTGGAAATGAACCAAATATACAAAAAAGTATCATTTATTTGGCCCGAAGGGCCAAGTGAGCTTATGGCATGGTGCTGTGTCCGTCGTCTGTCTTCTCAGTAACCAAAAGGCCTTCGGTCCAGGTGAGCTTATAAAACCAAGAGGCCCAGAGGGCCTGTATCGCTCACCTGAATATTTTTTAAGCAGTCATATCAAAATATTCTCATTAAATATTATACTGTACTACAAATATTTCACTCGCAAACTTTGTTGACACCATCAGTTGAAACTACCAGTCAAATATTATTATATGATTCTTCGCTTTTTGGTTCTTCTTCAGAAGTTGTTTGAAGTGTTTGACATATTTTTTCCCCTGTTACCTTGTAAGTAGGTCAAGGTCATTTTCCTTCACAAACTTTGCCGGCTCTATTCCAAGAAGCTACCAGCTAAATCTGAAGAATCCATTCCTTTTGGATCTTCAGAACTAAGGATTTAAAATGTTTTTGACCTCTGTGACATTAAAAGTAGGTTGAGGTTCTTTTCATTTCCAAACTTTGGTGAGAAGCCACCGGAAAAATATTATGATTCTATGCCTTTCGATTATTCATCAGAAGTCGTTTGATGTTTTTGACATATTTGACCACTGTGACCCTGAAAGTAGGTCAAGGTCATTTTCATTCCTAACTTTGTCATGCTCAATCTTAAGTAACCAGCCAAATTTGAAGATTCTATACCTTTCAGTTCCTCCTCCTTAGTCGCTTGAAGAGTTTGACCCCTGTAACCTTGAAAAAGGTCAAGGTAGTTTTCACTCTCAAACTTTGCCAGGCTCCATCTGAAGAAGCCACCAGCCAAATATGAAGATTCTATACCTTTCAGTTCTTCAGGAGAAATTGTTTGAAGAGTTTGACATATTTGACCGCTGTGACCTTGAAAGTAGGTAAGTCAATATCATTCTCAAACTTTGTCCGGCTCTATCCCAGGAAGCAACCAGCCAAATATAAAAATGCTATCCCTCTCGGTTCCATCGAAGTCGCTTGAAAAGTTTGACCCCTGTGACCTTGAAAGTAGGTCATGGTAATTTTCATTCTCAAAGTTTGTTTGGCTCTATCCCATTAAGTCACAAGGCAAATATGAAGATCATATTCAATTTAATTCTTCAGAAGGCTTTTAAAGCATTTGACATATTTGACGGCTGTGACCTTGAAAGAAGGTCAAGGTCATTTTCACTCTCAAACTTTGTCAGACTCTATCTGAGGAAGCAACCAAGTATGAAGATTCTATACCTTTCAGTTCTTCAGAAGAATTCGTTTGAAGTGTTTGAAACATTTGACCCCTGTGACCTTGAAAGTAGGTCAAGGTAATTTTCATTTTCAAACTTTGTCTGGCTCTATCCCAGAAAGCAACCAGCCAAATATGGAGATTTTATAACTTTGAATTCTTCAGAAGTCGTTAGAAGCATTTGACATAATTTGACCACTGAGACCTTGAAAGTAGGTCAAGGTCATTTTCATTCTCAACTTTGTCAGGCTCTTTCCCAGAAAGCAACCAGCCAAATATGGAGATTTTATAACTTTGAATTCTTCAGAAGTCGTTGGAAGCATTTGACACATTTGACCCCTGTGACCTTGAAAGTAGGTTAAGGTCATTTTCATTCCCAAACTTTGACGGGCTCCTTCTAATGAAGATTTCAGCCAGATATCATGACTTTTGGCCTGTCTGTTCTTCAGAAAAAATTGTTTTAAAGGAAAAGTTGATGTATGACAGATGCCCCACTATGACATAAGCTCACTTGCCCTCTTGGCTAAAAATCTTTTTTTTTTTGTACTTGTCAATGCATATATACACTTTATGAAAACATTTGAAAAGGGATATTCGTCTTGTGAATATTCCTTTTTAAAGAAAGGTTTGTCCCATGGTTGAGGGAAGGTGCTTAGCCCCGTACCCATTTGTACCAGTCACAATCCGGTAAGAGATATTTCCTGGTGTCTATAAATAATACTGAGATGCCACCAATTAATTCTTCATTTAAATTCTGAATATTGGCATGTGTGCAATTAACTTCTGATGATGAATAATTACTAATTCAATAAGTTTCAATAGGGAATTAAAAATCATATTACTTGGTTTCATAGTGTGGTAAGAAGTTGAAGTTGCCTGATGGCCCCTCTCTGGGGGGCCCCTGGAAACTTTGCATCTCGGTCAGACCACCTGTGTTTACTACCTCGTTTCAAAACCGTTAGGCGACGTTATTGGCGCTATTTTTAACAGGGCTTTCCCGAACAATTCAAGTGGTCAAACTGGACATTTGGAACGTACTATGAATATGGGATAGCGAGGTAACATAAGTGGAAGTGCATTCAACACATACATTCATTAACCAGAGGCCCATGGGCCTTAACGGTCACCTGAGTCCTACAATATTTATTTGTGTTGTTGAAATATGTACCAATTTGAGTAAAAATTGTGAAGTATAACGTTAACTTAAGTTTGTCAGGACCATGAGCTGATCTTTCCTAGACCGATATTCAGTTAAATCGGCCTATTAGAACTTGTTTTAAGTATGAAATAGGTATTTTCAAAATAGTGGCCATGGCAGCCAAATTGTATTTCTGATTGACCCGAAAAATAACAAAACTTTGTCAGGACCATGAGTCGATCATTCCTACAAAGTTTCAGTTCAATCGGCCTAGCAGAACTTGACTTAAAGTTTGAAATATTTTTTCAAAATGGCGGCCGTGTCAGCCATATTGAATTTCTGATAGACCCGCAAAATAACAACATTATGTCAGGACCATGAGTCGATCATTCCTACAAAGTTTCAGTTTAATCGGCCCATTAGAACATGACTTTAAGCTTGAAATAGTTTTTCAAAATGGCGGCCTTGTCAGCCATATTGAATTTCTGATAGACCCGCAAAATAACAACACTTTGTCAGGACCATGAGTCAATCATTCCTACAAAGTCTCAGTTCAATCGGCCCAGCAGAACTTGACTAAGTTTGAAATAGTTTTTCAAAATGGCGGCCGTATTGGATTTCTGATCGACCCGAAAAACACTTGGTCAGGGAGATGTTAGTAACCTTCCCATGAAATATTAATGAAATCCCTTTGCCGGTATTTCAGCTTAAGTTGAAAATGTAAAATGTTAACGGACGACGCACGACGACGGACGAAGACGGATAGCAATAGGTCACTTGAGCTAAAGCTCAGGTGACCTAAAAACAATATGACTTTTCACACGATGTCCCTTTAATGTAATGGCGCCTTTGTGGTATGGATACTTCAGTTTGCGTGTACTGTGAAACCTTGGGAGACATAAACTTAGAAAATAAATGATAAAACAATCCCATAGTATCAAGCCTCTAAAGTAATGACACCAAAAATCTGTTTATAGTAACGACCTCAGTGAGACAACGGACGGTAAACGTTATTATACCACAAGCTCACAGGCACTTTGTTCCAGAAGAGCAAAAACGTACAGTACTGTAGCTAATATATTACATGATGGTGAAAGTTTTGACTCCCATGAGATGAATTTAATGTTTTCAGTTTTCTTTCAATAATCAATCATGCTTTGAATTTGTGTTGTTGATATTATGTAATAGTTTGATATTGTTTGAATACTGTATAGCGAAAAACTTGTGCCAAGTCTAATATTGGCTCTTTACTGTGACAATCTGGATTGGCCCAGTGTTAATTACATCCTTCAATATACCGACTATAAACATATTGTATGTTGTGTTCTATTTGTTTTCATGATTTATATGGCATCATTAAGGATGACGTAAATCGAAAAGTCGGACTCCAGCAAGTATTTCCCAGTACAGTATAAATGCCTTCTAAATCAATTTCAGGAAGCTAAGGGAAAATGCTGGGATTCATTGTCCATTTTTTAATTCCAAGAAACACATATTGGTACACAAGAACAATATATATTTATGATTCATTCACTCAGTACAGAAAACATTACCACAGATGTCTTCGAAAATTCCAGATAGTCATAAAAAATGTCTTCCAAAATGAAAATGAATGACAGCCAAGTTGATTAGCTACTGAAGCAATGAAATCAAACTGGCATAATGATAATATCACGAACAAATCACTTGCCCAAAGGCTTCATTTGATGTAGAATTTATAGAAATCATTTGAATGCCAAGAAATGAGGTAACTATGAAATACTGTATAGTTGATAACTTTGAATGCTAAATTTTATGCTCACTAAAATAGCCAACCACACATTATCATGAAATGCCACAATTTTTTGGGAAGACACAGGAGTTTTCGAAATCATCTTTTGTAGGTACAGTACATTTTGTACAGTGTATTTACAAATACTGAAAGTTTGTATTCCACTCATTTTTTCAATCAAGTAATTTGCAATGAACATGTTTGTAATGTTTTCTCATCACTCCAAACATGTTTCTAACATCTTTTTATCTATACGGTTTCTTTCAACATATATCTACATACAGTGGACAGCATATTTTGTAGCACTATAGCATATATGCACAAGAACACCTGATGTGCAGACTTTCTTCACAAAAATACATAATCCTGCTCAACGACCGAATAGTCAAATAAAATTTCATAAAGACCTTCATTGGATCTGATGAGCAAATGAAACGACCATACAGTTTCATTAGAACAGTTTTAGCTGTAATATAAAAATTAATCTAACACTTTCTTTCCTTCAAAAATGGTTTCCAAAGCAATGTCTTGACGATCAAGTCCGAGTCGACCGACATTAAATCTTTTGTTCTCATAGTTATGTCCCTTCAGCCTTTTTTTCTGCCTTTTTCTTTGCTGATTTTTCTTTCTTTCTTTTTGCTAGAAAGCCTTCCATGTCTACATCAGGATAGACTTTGGTGATGACACCATACCCTGTTGTGGTGTTGGCATCCCGGATAGTGAAACGCTGCCCAGCATCCACACACATGTTCTTCAGTAGATATATATCAACAGTGGCATCTTCTCCTGGCATCAAGATGGGCTTGTTTTCATCCAATTGAAAGAAAAATGGACATCGCCAAGTTGTACTGTACATCTGGGCTTGGGTGCCATCTATAAAGGGGTTCTTCCTTCCACCTTCCTCACGGTTTAACAGGTAAACTTTTGCCTGAATATTATTTCCTGACACAATGCTTCCCGGTTTACTGAGCGTCATTCCTTTTCTTGCTTCTTCCTTTTTCAGACCACGCAGAAGTGCTCCAAGCTGATCTCCAGCTTCAGCTCTCCCGAGACTTTTATTAAACATCTCGATTCCAGTAAGTGTGGTTTTTAAATTGAAACCATGACCCTTCAGCTCTACATCATCTCCTTTGTTCACAATACCACGCACAACCTGCCCGGACACAACTGTTCCACGCCCAGAAATGGTGAATACACTCTCAACAGGCATAAGGAAATCTTTGTCAAGGTCACGTATCATGTCAGGGAGATAACTATCAACAGCATCAAGTAGTTCCCGGACTTTATTAGCCCCAAGTTCATCGTTGACCCCGTCAAGAGCCTGCAAGGCAGATCCAATTATAACAGGAGTGTTTTCCCCATCAAAGCCGAACTCAGTAAGCGTTTCTCTTATTTCCATCTCCACTAATTCAATCATTTCAGCATCAGCTGCATCAGCCTTGTTTATAAACACTACGAGCTTGTCTATACCGATCTGTTTAGCAAGCAGAAGATGTTCTCTCGTCTGCGGCATAGTTCCATCTGTAGCTGCTACCACCAAAATACAGCTATCCATCTGGGCGGTTCCTGAAAAATATAGCAGTGTGTATAATCAGAAATAAGCAAACAACTTTATATATTCACTATAAAAAGTAGAACATCGACATGACAGGACGTACAGATGGACCTTTCAATATCGCACTATATATGAAGTAAATAGCAGGCAGGAAGACGGCAATACTATTATTTTCTAGTGAAGAGGTAATATCTTTAGGAACAGCAGCCTTGTAAAAGAATATATCCCTCCTGTGTGATATTGATGCAGGCAGAGAAATCTCAACCCAAGGGTAAGATGTCGAGGTTCTGTGTGAGGCTTTTGCCAAATGCTGAACTTCAAAAATTCTATCCCAAGTGTTCCTCTACCTCACACAGAATTGATGGGTGGTTTTTCTCCCGTGCTTCCCGTCATAAAAATCACTTTTAATTGTAAAACTAATGCACCGCACAAAAGTCTAGGCGTTTTACAATACAGACACATTGTCAGAATAATAGCATGTGTGAGATATATATATATATGTACAGATAGATTTGTCGTTTTCCTAGCAAAACGGGAAAGCACTTATGAAATGTGAGAGAATATATACTTTCCTCCTAGCTTGTAAACTTTGTCTAAAATACAATTTGAAAATTAATAAACTTGAGCTTGAAAAACATGGTATTAGGATAACCAACAATCACCTTTTAGGTAACTTCTCTATTCCAAAATAAAGTAGTGCATTTCTCAATAAATATGTACCTCCTTAAATCAAATGTAATGTCTGTCTTCCTAACAGACAAATAAGACACATAAGTGAAAAAGCTACTCTTTAGATATTGACATCAGATAGTGATACATGGGCTTCCAATTATCGTTTTAGCTATATATTTTGATTTCTAATGCCTATTATCTATGCCAGTATTTTGTTATTCAAATATGTAGTCGAATTGGCATTACAGTAGTGTTGATTTGAACATTTATATTTGAAAAATTTATGTAAAAAATATTTCCCTATACATAACTGGATTGTAATTCAAAGTGTATTGCAGTCTTGTGTGTTGTGAATAAACAAGCACAGAAACTGGAAATGTACGAGCGCACTCCATGATACAATGGAATTGACTTGATGTCATTGAAGAGTAAGGAAAGTCATGATAATAAACTAAAATTAATTAATACACAATGTGAAGCACATTTCTCTTTGATTTTTTTTTGTTCCAATTCATTTATTCGTCAATTTCTCTGTATGTGCTCAGAAACTGGTCAGCCTATGAACAATATTAAAATATTTAATTATGTTAAGGCGCTCGGGTCAGCCTATGTACGATACCAGATAATTTGATTATGTTAAGGCGCTCTGGTCAGCCTTTGTAGGATACCAGTTGACTTAATTATGTTAAGACGCTCTGGTCAGCCTATGTACGATACCAGATAACTTAATTATGTTAAGGCGCTCGGGTCAGCCTATGTTAGATACCAGATAAGTTAATTATGTTAAGGCGCTCGGGTCAGCCTATGTACGATACCAGATAAGTTAATTATGTTAAGGCGCTCTGGTCAGCCTATGTAGGATACCAGTTGACTTAATTATGTTAAGACGCTCTGGTCAGCCTATGTACGATACCAGATAACTTATTTATGTTAAGGTGCACTGGTCAGCCTATGTACGATACCAGATAACTTAATTATGTTAAGGCGCTCGGGTCAGCCTTTGTACGATACCAGATAACTTAATTATGTTAATTATAAGGTGCTCTGGTCAGCCTATGTACGATACCAGATGACTTAATTATTTTAAGGCGCTCTGGTCAGCCTATGTACAATACCAGATATCTTATTTATGTTAAGGTGCTCTGGTCAGCCTATGTACGATACCAGATAACTTAATTATGTTAAGGTGCTCGGGTCAGCCTATGTACGATACCAGATAACTTAATTATGTAAAGGCGCTCTGGTCAGCCTATGTACGATACCAGATGACTTAATTATGTTAAGGCGCTCTGGTCAGCCTATGTACAATACCAGATAACTTATTTATGTTAAGGTGCTCTGGTCAGCCTACGTACGATACCAGATAACTTAATTATGTTAAGGCGCTCGGGTCAGCCTTTGTACGATACCAGATAACTTATTTATGTTAAGGCGCTCTGGTCAGCCTTTGTACGATACCAGATAACTTAATTATGTTAAAGCGCTCGGGTCAGCCTATGTACGATACCAGATAACTTAATTATGTTAAAGCGCTCGGGTCAGCCTATGTACGACACCAGATAACTTAATTATGTTAAGGCGCTCGGGTCAGCCTATGTACGATACCAGATGACTTAATCATGTTAAGGCGCTCTGGTCAGCCTATGTACGATCCCAGATAACTTATTTATGTTAAGGTGCTCTGGTCAGCCTACGTACGATACCAGATGACTTAATTATGTTAAGGGGCTCTGGTCAGCCTATGTACGATACCAGATAACTTAATTATGTTAAGGCACTCTGGTCAGCCTATGTAGGATACCAGATGACTTAACTATGTTAAGGCGCTCTGGTCAGCCTATGTAGGATACCAGATAACTTAATTATGTTAAGGCGCCCGGGTCAGCCTTTGTACGATACCAGATAACTTAATTATGTTAAGGCACTCTGGTCAGCCTATGTAGGATACCAGATGATTTAACTATGTTAAGGCGCTCTGGTCAGCCTATGTAGGATACCAGATAACTTAATTATGTTAAGGCGCTCTGGTCAGCCTTTGTACGATACAAGATAACTTAATTATGTTAAAGCGCTCGGGTCAGCCTATGTCCGATACCAGATAACTTAATTATGTTAAAGCGCTCGGGTCAGCCTATGTACGACACCAGATAACTTAATTATGTTAAGGCGCTCGGGTCAGCCTATGTACGATACCAGATGACTTAATTATGTTAAGGCGCTCTGGTCAGCATATGTACGATACCAGATAACTTATTTATGTTAAGGCGCTCAGGTCAGCCTTTGTACGATACCAGATAACTTATGTATGTTAAGGCGCTCTGGTCAGCCTTTGTACGATACCAGATAACTTATTTATGTTAAAGCGCTCGGGTCAGCCTATGTACGACACCAGATAACTTAATTATGTTAAGGCGCTCGGGTCAGCCTATGGACGATACCAGATAACTTAATTATGTTAAGGCGCTCTGGTCAGCCTTTGTACGATACAAGATAACTTAATTATGTTAAAGCGCTCGGGTCAGCCTATGTCCGATACCAGATAACTTAATTATGTTAAAGCGCTCGGGTCAGCCTATGTCCGATACCAGATAACTTAATTATGTTAAGGCGCCCGGGTCAGCCTTTGTACGATACCAGATAACTTAATTATGTTAAAGCGCTCGGGTCAGCCTATGTACGATACCAGATAACTTATTTATGTTAAGGCGCTCTGGTCAGCCTATATGAACGATACTTGATACCTTAATTATGTTAAGGCGCTCTAGACCAATGCTCGATATTGGTTTTCATTCCATGACGTTCCGGAAGTGATTGTGCAATAACAGTATTTAAACAAGAGTACCGTGGGGTGAAACAATATACGCCCGTCGAATGCCATAAAGTGTTATATACTTTCTTACATTGAAATAACATCTGTATCATTCTAAGAGCGGTTAGCTGACATTCTATAAAAAGTGTAGGAGGTGATCTCCGGACAAAAAATCAAATACTGAAATGAACAAAGGGCAAAAACTTTTGCAAAAATCGACGAATCTAAAAAAAAACTTAAGGGAGACACAACTTCATATCATGATTATAATGTATACCAAGTTTCACAAGTGATCCATTGAAAAATGTAGGAAGAGATTGCCGGACAAAAATCAAATACTGAAATAAACAAAGTGCAATAACTTTTGGAAAAAATTGTTGTATCAAAATTCTTTTAAGGGAGACACAACTTCATATCATGATTATAAGACATACCAAGTTTCAAAGTGATTGGTTGAAAAATGTAGGAGGAGATTGCCGGACAGTTAATTCACTAAAACACCCGGAGGTAATTTTCTGTCAGCTATCAGTCATTTCCTTTGTGTTTGTTTATATTTTGGTTTGTATTACTATTTTGGATGCTATTTGAAACAGGGATATAATTATAATTTGTCATCGTTGTATATATGATGAAAAACCAATAGCACTATTATCTCTTTGCTCTTAATAACCATTTTAATGTGATAAAAAAATCTGAAACATGTATTGATTTACTTCTCCATATTTACAGAAAATGAAAATTAATTAATACTCTCTATGGCATATCTGATATCTTTGAAATATAATCCACTATGATACAAAACCAATCATATATATACAAGGAAAATCGAAAGAAATGTAAAAATGCACAAAAAAACAATTGTATCAGGAAAGGTGGAATTATTTCGGACGTAATAAATAAAGTCATTTTTCACATATATATTGAAATTTGTTTATGAATAACTGTTGTTTTGTAATATAAAAATACTATAAAAAATACTAGGTTGTGAATAGTAATTACTTGATTAGTACTAAAGTTTATTTATATTGGAATGGAAAAACACACAAAAATAAAAATAAACCTTGGCAAATAATTGTGATTATTTAAAACAAATGTACTTATTTTTACCAAACTCATTACTGTCTGAATTTCAGTTTTGGTAAAAATAAAGTACACTGTGACAGTTTAGTTCTGAAGCTGTTCCAGGAGAAAGAAAAAAATACATTTACCCAATAATAAATAATATTAAAAACACTTTTGTGTATTTAGTGTTTGTTTCGTCTTTGTCTATTTTAACTTTCTCTGTAACTAACAGAACGATTTACTGATTTCCCTTTGGGGGCCTCTGGACTAAAAGCAATACACTTTTGTTGCTTCTCTACGCATGTGCGGTGTTGTAAACAGTGATGGCGGACATCTCAAAATGAGATTTTGGGTACATTGGAAATAAGAATTATTGCGGTGATGTACAATGCATTTATATCAGTTTTTTTAGTTGGATCATATAGCGGAAGCATTTATCTATTGGGAATTACAAGTTTCGTTGGCGATATAAATGTTCAATTACTATAAACCACGTGAGTACTTTGAACACTCACCATCTTCCATTTCATACATATTTATATAGGCGCTGTGCAGGAACTCTATCGTTATAAATCTCTGATTTAAATAGAGTTCCTACAGGAATTAGGCCGAGCCCTTAAGGCATTGAACCCTGTGACCAAGTTTGAAGAAAATCGTTTAACATTTGTTGAAGTTATTGCACGGAAACGAAGGGCTGCAGATAATGACGTTTTTATTATTCAAAGGGCCATAACTCCAGGAAATGGGGTCCGCTAAAAATGGTCATCAAACTTGGCCGAGCCCTTGAAGCATTGAACTCTGTGACCAAGTTTGAAGAAAATTGTTTAATATTTGTTGTAGTTATTGCACGGAAACGAAGCATGACAGATGGACAGACAGATGGACGGACAGACAGACAGACGGACAGACCCATAGTAATATCCCCCGTTTCGGTGAAAGCGGGGGATAAAAATAAGTTGTAAAAGTAACCAAGCTACTCCTAGTTTACAGGTTGGGCACAACAGCGCATATGGGTAATAATCCTGCATTTATGTATAACAGTTACCAATTTGAGAAGTCCGAATTATTCTTATTATTTTTAACGACTTTTTCATATCGGTCTGTCGTCGATTAACGTCAGAACTCCGGCCCTCTATAACATGCGGGAAATATGCGACCCGCACCCGGAGCCCACTTCAAACTGATATTTTAGAAACAAATCGTCACTTTCACACACATGTCGCACATGGATCCAAAGATCTATTCTTTATGCACTAGGTGGTATCAACAGCATGTTTCAAAGATCATTACGAAAAGTATGTTCCAACGTTTTCTATACCAACCCATGTTTTTAATGGAAATTAGGCCATGAGCAATGTCACATGACTTGATGAGATCTCGCGTTACCCAAGGTATTTCCCAACGTTATGACGTAGGCCGGTGAGAATTTAGTCACGTGGCATTAGAAGGCAGGGCTATCAAAAAACTACAGTAAAACAGAGTAAGTTTGAAAAAATATGTTTTTAGTGATTGTATTGGTTGTTTGAGGCATGTTATGTATGTTCATCTTGTGCATAAAGAATAGATCTTTCGATCCATGTGCGACATGTGTGTGAAAGTGACGATTTGTTTCTAAAATATCAGTTTGAAGTGCGCTCCCGGCTTGGGTCGCATATTTCCCGCATATCATAGAGGGCCAGAGTTCTGACGTTAATCGACGACAGACCGATATGAAAAAAGTCGATAAAACGTCAGAATAATTCAGACTACCATTTGAGTAACAATTGTATTACTGAAATGGGGAATGAAGTGAAATAAAAACACAAAAGGTGTTATTCTTTCAACTCAATCCAATAAATAACACAATGAAGTACATTAGTGCACACACATTTATCAATTCTGATGTCAAACTTTTTAGTGACTTTGTTCTTCATTGACTTTAGTGTGTAGGCATTGTTATTGGATGATAAATGTTGAAAGAATGACGCACTTTTTTGTACATAATCTGTAAAAGAATTTTGTATGTTTTTAGTTCATTTCAGTAATAAAATTGTTACCCAAATACAGGATTATTACTCATATGCGCCGTTGTGCCATCAGTAGATCGGGAGAATAGACGATTTAATAGTACCCAACCTGTTACAACATCTTTTTTTCCCAAGTGCCATGCATCAAAATATTATGGAATTGCGTTATTCATTGAAAAATAACGAATTCATAATTCGTCAAAATAGGTAACGTGACCTCTCGTTAATACCTGTGATCATGTTTTTTATGTAATCGGCGTGGCCCGGACAATCGATGTGACCATAATGGCGTTTTTCCGTATTATATTCCACTGTAGCGGTGTTGATGGTAATCCCTCGCTTTCTTTCCTCGGGTGCTCGGTCTATGTCATCATATTTAAGGAACTTTGCGCCCTTTTTTTGCGAAAGGACTCTGGTGATCGCGGCTGTCAATGTCGTCTTTCCGTGGTCCACGTGCCCGATGGTACCGATGTTCAAGTGTGGTTTTTCTCGCAAATATACCTTTTTCTGTCCCGGCGCTGGAGGCTTTTGAAAAAGAATGTTCGATAAAGATATTGCCCTTTTGCAAAGTGATAATTTGGAGCTTAGAAGCCTGTCGAAGAGAATTTGACGGGTAATAATCGACGCCATGTTGTGACCCCCTAACATTCAACGATGGCACGCATGTCCCAACTTAAGGATGCGTGTCCGTTATTTCTAAAACGATTTACTTCAACAGACAATAGCCCTTATTAATAATACGAGTTTATGCCTCTCGTCAAATGCAGAAACACATTTCGGTTATCAACGGTTTAAAAGTTCAGTGTCATACATTAAAATCTATTTCCATTTGTTTGCAGATAATCCTCAACCAATTATAAAACGAGTTATTTCAACTCATATTATATCACGGAATTAGATTATCCAGAGACGTATATAACATATGTCCGTGATTATATTAATGAGGATGTTAGCGCGTGGGGGTCTTAGTGTGGAAGGAAACCGGAGTACCCGGAGAAAATCCACGTCGTCGTGCAGGTGACCCTAACCTCAATGTTCACGTCCGATCGGGGAATCGAACCCCGGCCGTCTTGGTGAAAGGCAAGTCAATGTGCTATCCACTGCACCTACCGACAACGTACCCCGCAATCATATGATTGATTTAAGGGCCGTTTTCGGTCGGACCGTAGTAGTTCGTTTATTAAATAACGTCGGACCTAGTAATCTGTTGCTGCTTTTATGCGCGTCTCTGTTAGTATATATATGCGAGCCTTGACAAAGCCTAACAAGGCCTCATAAAAATGTGCAGGTCCGCCAGGATTTATACCCGAAATTGATACATTTAAAAACGGAAAAACCGGTTGTTCGCATTTAAACGAAAAGGCCCTAGTTTTTTTCCTGGTAATGTTACTGTACCACCAAAACGCACATTTCCCATTGTATATGCACAGGTTACAATTTAATTATTTTTTTTGGTTTTCATCACATGCACTAAAACAATTTATGACTTAGGCTACTAAAACAAGCCTAGAGCATGAATTGGAAAGAACAATAATGAAATGCAAAAAATAAAAATTAAATCATTGTACGTTAAAGAATCCTTAAAATAATAAAAAAAAATGAAATATTACACGAGGATATCACAGAACTCACGAAGGCTCTGTAATATTTATAACACTAAAATATTATATCATAATTCATTACTTAAGCAGATGTATTTTTTTGCATCAAACTTGTTTTTTTCTTTTTCTTTGTTCATTTCGTGAATAACATAAAGTGATACTGTGGCGTATCACACTTTACAGTTTTTTGCTGCGGTACTATTTGTTTCTAGGCGAAAGGAAACAAACATGGCGGAAAACGGTGCATACGCGGAGCACTCTTCTCCAGTGATTGAAGGAAATGTTGTCCATGTAGGAGGTGAAACTCACGTACTGAATTATGATGCCAACATTCTATCTCTAGACAACGTGATAGATAATTCAGATGTCATAGATAGAGAGGAGATCATCGACGAGATAGACGATGCAGATGATGAAGTTGATGAAGAAGATGTTGAGGTAAGAACAAGTATTCATTGATGCTTTGAAACGACTGCATTTACATATCTTCTTCTTTACTTTACGGGGGCTCCATCAAAGTTGACGTTTATGCCCTCGGGGGTCCTATTGCAGAGGCGTGAAAAAGGGGGTTGTTTACAGTGATTATATTACTTGTTGTTGTTTTTTGTGTTTTTTGTGTGTGCAAGGTATAGATAAAAGATAAAAGCTGACGTATGTGTTTAGCGTGTGATGAGGGCTTCAAGGGCTGCATAGGGTAAGTGTGCCTTGAAGTCCTCTAGTGTTGTGCATTGTACTAGCTGCTGTGCATGCTATGGGAAGGAGATTCCATTGTGTTATTGTGTGTAGGAAGAATGAATATTTGTAGGTGTCCTTTGTAGCAGATATGTGTTTGTATGCGCGAGGGTGTGCATGTCTGGTTCGAGGGTCTACGGATGTGAGTATGTGAGTTGGGTTTATGGCTACTGTTTGGTGTACAATTTTGTGAAAAAGGATCAATCTTGTGTGACAGCATTCGGGGGGTGCTAAGCTTTACTTGAAGCAATGACTGTCATCAATATAGCCTGAGTTTCCTCTGGCCCTAACACCAGACTTAGACATTTTGACAGATAGATGTCTGGTGTGGGGCCAGAGCGCACTGCTATATGAAAACATGGAATTATCCAACACTAGCCTAAAAGGTGTCGGAGAGTTTTGAGGTGCTGACAACAAATATTGACTATGACAAAAACACATACCTCACATATATCGATAAATGGATTATTTATTGATCCAAATCCACTTTTATTATCACCAAGAGCTGCTAAATTCCATCAGAAGTGTCCTCAGTTTACATTTGTTCAAATTTTTTCACATGAGCGGACACCATTTTTGTAGGTCAGGGTAGTGACTAATCAACAAGCTGTACTGATCTTGACCGAAAACGTAATATATAATTTTTGTTTAGAAAATGTCCGGTCCGCCTAAGTCACTACCCTGACCTACAAAAATGGCATCTGTTCAGTTGACAGAGATATGAATAACATTTCGATCCATATATGGAAATATGGGAACATACAAACAAATAGTAATTGAAGTGGGCACCAAACCTGGTTCACAGATATTTCAAAGAGACCCTACAGTGGACTTACCGACTATCTACACTCTATCGAAAAATATTTTTAAGTAGAGAGTTTGTTGGTTGGAACTATACTCATATCCTTAATATCAGACTTGAAACATTTGATGATGTCTGATCCATAGAAATCTGCCAGCTGCGAACAGTATTTGTCAAAATGGGTCAAGTCTTGTGTTTGAATAAGAAGTGTAACAAGAAAGGAAAAATGGAACAGAAAGACTTGAACTCAAACCAACTGGATGTGTAAACTCTTAGGTAGACCCCCTAACACCCTAACACCCTAACCAATACAGCTAAAGGTATGCCTTGTCGCTCACGATCCAGCCATACCAACTGGATCTGTAAACTCTTAGGCAGACACCCTAACACCCTAACACCCTAACACCTAACACCCTAACACCCTAACACCCTAACCAATATAGCTAAATGTATGCCTTGTCGCTCACGATCGAGTCATACCAACTGGATCTGTAAATTCGTAGGCAGACACCCTAACCAATATAGCTAAATGTATACCTTGTCGCTCACGATCGAGCCATACAAACTGGATCTGTAAACTCTTAGGCAGACACCCTAACCAATATAGCTAAATGTATACCTTGTCGCTCACGATCGAGCCATACCAGTGGAAGGCAGACACCCTAACCAATATAGGTAAAGGTATGCCTTTTCGCTCACGATCGCGCCATACCAACTGGATCTGTAAACTCTTAGGCAGACACCCTAACCAATATAGCTAAAGGTATGCCTTGTCGCTCACGATCGAGCCATATGCCTTGTCGCTCACGATCCAGCCATACCAACTGGATCTGTAAACTCTTAGGCAGACACCCTAACCAATATAGCTAAATGTATGCCTTGTCGCTCACGATCGAGCCATACCAGTGGAAGGCAGACACCCTAACCAATATAGCTAAATGTATACCTTGTTGCTCACGATCGAGCCATACCAGTGGAAGGCAGACACCCTAACCAATATAGCTAAATGTATACCTTGTCGCTCACGATTGAGCCATACCAGTGGAAGGCAGACACCCTAACCAATATAGCTAAATGTATACCTTGTCGCTCACGATCGAGCCATACCAGTGGAAGGCAGACACCCTAACCAATATAGCTAAATGTATACCTTGTCGCTCACGATTGAGCCATACCAGTGGAAGGCAGACACCCTAACCAATATAGCTAAATGTATACCTTGTCGCTCACGATCGAGCCATACCAGTGGAAGGCAGACACCCTAACCAATATAGCTAAATGTATACCTTGTCGCTCACGATTGAGCCATACCAGTGGAAGGCAGACACCCTAACCAATATAGCTAAATGTATACCTTGTCGCTCACGATCGAGCCATACCAGTGGAAGGCAGACACCCTAACCAATATAGCTAAATGTATACCTTGTCGCTCACGATTGAGCCATACCAGTGGAAGGCAGACACCCTAACCAATATAGCTAAATGTATACCTTGTCGCTCACGATCGAGCCATACCAGTGGAAGGCAGACACCCTAACCAATATAGCTAAATGTATACCTTGTCGCTCACGATCGAGCCATACCAGTGGAAGGCAGACACCCTAACCAATATAGCTAAATGTATACCTTGTCGCTCACGATCGAGCCATACCAGTGGAAGGCAGACACCCTAACCAATATAGCTAAATGTATACCTTGTCGCTCACGATCGAGCCATACCAGTGGAAGGCAGACACCCTAACCAATATAGCTAAATGTATACCTTGTCGCTCACGATCGAGCCATACCAGTGGAAGGCAGACACCCTAACCAATATAGCTAAATGTATACCTTGTCGCTCACGATCGAGCCATACCAGTGGAAGGCAGACACCCTAACCAATATAGCTAAATGTATACCTTGTCGCTCACGATCGAGCCATACCAGTGGAAGGCAGACACCCTAACCAATATAGCTAAATGTATACCTTGTCGCTCACGATCGAGCCATACCAGTGGAAGGCAGACACCCTAACCAATATAGCTAAATGTATGCCTTGTCGCTCACGATCGAGCCATACCAACTGGATCTGTAAACTCTTAGGCAGACACTCTAACCAATATAGCTAAATGTATGCCTTGTTGCTCACGATCGAGCCATACCAACTGGATCTGTAAACTCTTAGGCAGTCACCCTAACCAAAATAGCTAATTGTATACCTTGTGGCTCAGGATCGAGCCATACCAGTGGAAGGCAGACCCCCTAACAAATATAGCTAATTGTATCCCTTGTTGCTCACGATCGAGCCATACCAGGGGAAGGCAGACACCCTAACAAATATAGCTAATTGTATACCTTGTTGCTCATGATCGAGCCATACCAGTGGAAGGCAGACACCCGAACCAATATAGCTAAATGTATCCCTTGCCGTTTACGACCGAGCCATACCAGTGGAAGGCAGACCCCCTACCCAATATAGCTAAATGTATCCCTTGTCGCTCACGATTGAGCCATACCAGTGGAAGGCAGACACCCTAACCAATATAGCTAATTGTATACCTTGTTGCTCATGATCGAGCCATACCAGTGGAAGGCAGACACCCTAACCAATATAGCTAAATGAATACCTTGTCGCTTACGATCGAGCCATACCAGTGGAAGGCAGACACACTAACCAATATAGCTAAATGTATACCTTGTCGCTCACGATTGAGCCATACCAGTGGAAGGCAGACACCCTAACCAATATAGCTTAATGTATACCTTGTCGGTCATGATCGGGCCATACCAGTGGAAGGCAGACACCCTAACCAATATAGCTAAATGTGTACCTTGTCGCTCACGATCGTGCCATACCAGTTCCACTACAAAAGAAATTCAGGCAAATTGGACTCAAGAGAAAGCCTTTATGTGCTTGAAGCAAGAAATTGAAAAGCTATTGGATGTTATAATACGATCTCACACAAGAATGATTCAATTACTGACTAGTGAAAATATTCCAGTGCATATGATGCTGATAGTTATATTATTGACTAATTGCGGAAGTAATGTAAAGGAAATGAAAATTGCAAACCAACACCGGGATTTGAACCCTGGACCACCAAACTCTAGATGGGCACTCTAACCCATTGAACTACGGGTCAGTAGTGATTGACCCAGTTGTGTTCTGGCCTCCCTCCCTCCTTTTTCTAGGTCTTCTTCCCCTAAGACTACACTATTTACAACCCAGATTTATTTGGGTATCAGTTTGCCAAGTATACTTCCGGTGCTTGAAATAAGAATAGGTCACAGGCACCACATGCATGAATTAGAAGAAGAAAAATATGTCTGGTTTATTACTACCTGTTGATTTTGACAATGCATTTGACTCGATAGATTGGAGTTTTATTCATAGGTCTTTAAAAAAAATCAATTTTGGTGAATCTTAAATGGGTACCTATTTTTTATCATAATGCAAAAAGCAGAATAATTAGAAACGGATATTTTTCCTCATTTTTTTATGCACAACGTTGATGTAGACAAGGGAATCCCATCTCCCCATATCTATTCTTGATAGGTGATGAAATTTCGGCTATACAATTGAAAAAAAATCAAATTTATAGAAGGTGTACAAGTAAACAATAGAGAATATTTGCTTGGTCAATATGCAGATGATGCCTTTTTATTCCTAGATGGTTCTTCAAAGTCATTGTCAAGTACTATAACTGACTTCAGTATATTTTCTACAGTGTCTGGACTTAAACTTAATATAGATAAGTGTCGGTTGATATGGATCGGAAACAAGAAATACTCAGAATTTAAGAGATTTTATGCCTCGAACATAAATTTGACTTGTCTTCGAAAAACTTTAAACTTCTTGGTATACATTTTTCTTTGGAGTTATCTGAAATCATTGAATTAAATTTTAAAATAAAGCTATCAAAATAAGAAAATTGCCTGGAATGTGGTCTAAAAGAAATCTGACTCTTTTAGGAAAAACCACAGTTGTAATATAACACTGGTACTACCACTTATAACACATTTACTGTATTCACTGCCAAATCCAGGTAAAAAAGTGGCTATGTGAAATTAATGCAGTTTTCTATAGAATCTTATGGGGTAGGAAATATAAAAAAAGACAACTAATGTTTTCTGAAAAGATGTTATTTTAGCATGGAAAGAATATAAAGATGATAATAATGAAATATCCAGTTTTCTTGGTGATCTTTTGAATTATATACCAGTTCCTAGTTTCAAACAGTTTATTGAATCGACAGGAATTGGTTGGAGACAGTTAAGGACTTGTGAGACAATAATTATAATTCAATGACATTAAGACTAAAAATGCATTTATTTTTTTACAATATTTTGCATTAACAGACAACATTCCACGAGAAAATTTAAACATATCACAAGAACAACCATTGATAAACAATCAATCAGAAAACAGTAATTTTTTAAGAAGACTTCTTCATACTACAGATCATAGATATGTTGATAAAGCGCTAGTTGCTAACTATAAACAGTATCCAGTTGAAAGGCAGGAAAAATGGAACTTATGTAATATGTAGCAGTGTGTACCTGTAAGTGAGTACATGTGTGTGTGTGTGTGGTATGTAGGACTCCTGTAATATTTTTTCACCTCGATAGTGTGTTTACTTCATTTATAAATACATAGCATGTACATGTAGTTAAATTTCACACGATTGTACACTGTTTATGTTTTTGTGTCTATGTATATGTATATGTTGGGTTTAAATTGTGTATACATTTGTATTTGTACATTTTTATTTCCTCAGACATATTTTTGAGTTATCCAAATTACACATGAAAAAACAACATATCGTTCAGTAACATAAATTTGGTTTAAATTTGAGTAAAATATACTAATCACCAAATCAAGTAAGCAGGATTTTGGCATATAAATTAATTTATAAATATGAATGTACATGTACTGTCAATATTTGAATATGAATAAGAGGAATGGTTTGGGTAATTTAGTATATCATTTTGATCAAATTAAATGTTATTATTATTATTGTAATGAATGAGAATGAAAGAATGAATGATTTGGAGGTTGAGAGAAGAAATGAAAAAGAAAGAGAGAATGAAGGGAAAGAGGCCTCCTGCTTGAGGCTACATTATGTAAGAGGGATGAGCCTGGGGGGGTACCCCAACCCTGGCAACCCGGGGCACCCCAACCCTGGCATCCCTCCCAAAAGATGCTGGGGGAATAAATTCCAATTTGAACCTAAAAAAAAAATAAAGGTCACAGGCGCCACAGTAAAAAAATGCCCAGCAACACTGGGTTCGAACCTAGGACCTTTGATCTCTATATATACAGACATTCTAACCTATTTAGCTACCAGGTCGCCGGCAATCACAGTTCATTTCTGCTACATATAGAAATTATTGCTTAGATGGAATATGAAATTACCAAATACTGGCAATCATTATGTTTGGGCAACAAAACAATTAAAAGCAACAAAAAAATAAACAACAATGTTCCTGGTACTGACAAACAAAAACATTGCCAAACAATGTAGCTTTTCAATAATATTCCTTGTAAACTGTACGTCACACTTAATCTGTATTTTTCATTCACTTCTCTGGTTAATCATTATATTGCAGCTATCCCCTGGAGGAATCTTGGATGAGGAAACTGTTGGCCGAGGTCTGTCTAACTTGGGACGATCAGCTGATGGATCCATGCAGGTCTATCTACATGTTACAGTGCCGGTAAATATCAACAACAGTTTGTTTGAATAAATACAAAGTCAGACTCACGGTAACACCTGTTCATGTTTCAAGTGTTTGCCCTTTGAAACATCACAGTTTTTTCAAAGAAAAAATAAAGTATACAGGGAAACATGTAGCAAACTTTGGTCTATCTTTTTAGTTTTAATAGCATTCAGAATTCAGGAAGCTCCATAGCTAGTGAACACAAAAGGATAACACTGTTTTTAATATATATATAGCTTTAAAAATATATATTTTGGGCTCAGTTTTGTAGCAAAGTCAAGGTTATAGCTGAGGGTCAAAGGTGAAGAAGACTAAACAGTCTTTCTAGATGTGTGTATCACAACCAGTCTATCACCGTCGTGCTCTTATCTAGGTCAAAGCCAGAGCTAAGGGTCAAGGTCAGATCATTGTATGCATGTCAGGATCATAGCTTGTAAATGATTATATTTTGTTTAATAAATGTAAAATATGAAAAAATAGCTTTGTGCTTAATTTATTACTGTAATGGTCAAGTTCCTAAATATTAAAATTCTTAACTCCTTTTAGGCTCTTGAGAGTGTAACTGAATTATGAAAAACAGATTTTTTTCTGTTACATGTATCTTTATAAATACTATTTTTTATTTCTTTTTATGTTTAAGTAAATGCCAAAAGTTTTAAAAGTAAAATAGTTTAATACATGAATTGTTTGAAAGTTAGGATAAAAATGTGAAAAAATCTAAGACAGGTAACATTCCAAGAACCTAAAGTAAGTTAATAGGGTATTTCTATTTTGTTTTTTCTTTTCTTTTCAGACATCTGACCAAATATCTTTTCAATATATATATAAAGTTTATCACTGATTTTTGATATCTAATTTTGTGGGTGTTTTCATTTGCATGTATTAAAAGAAAAATGACAGTGATGGCATATCATTTTGCCTGATGTCTTTTGAAATGCTTCAAAACAACAAATCATAATGTAATTAATAAAACAGGCAGGAAATAATAATCTAGAATAACAATCATTGATTGCATTTGAACGCTTCAGAATAAAATCATTTTAATTTAATAGATCTAAAAAAATATCCAAGTTAGTATTGTTCTTTTCTGTCTTTTATTATATCTAAAACAAATCCATATAGAAATTCATCAGGCTAGACCTCATAAAACCTGTTTATGTTATCATATGTCAAATACAGAAATTAAATTATTAAAATTCATCATGTAACAAAAACAATATAATGAACATGAACAGATATACATTATACACGTATTACATTATACACGTATTACATTATACACGTATTACATTATACACGTATTACATTATACACGTATTACATTATACACTTATTACATTATACACGTATTACATTATACACTTATTACATTTGTATTAAGAAGATTTCTTTTTTCAGGGTTTCAGTCTTAATGATATTTCAATGATCAAAATGTTTGTCCATCTTCAAAAAGTGGAGCTTCCATACAATGAAATAACAGGTAAATATGTTGTTGTTTTCACCCAAACTAAAAAATGATTATGATTTCAAAAAGATTTGGTCTGCATATGCCTTTTGTATAATATGCAGGTTACTTAGTGTCTACTGTCTGGAATAACTAATTCCAGGTTGCTATCAAAATTTAATGATTAAGGGTACAGTAATATAATGTATGCATGTATGACCTGTCACTGTTCTTACTTAAATACAAATTCATATTTATACGCCCGTCAAATTTGTTTGTCCGGCAATCTCCTCCTACATTTTTCGACCGATCTCTTTGAAACTTGGTATACACTATAATCATGATATGAAGTTGTGTCTCCCTTATAAGAATTTTGATTCGACATTTTTTCCAAAAGTTATTGCCCTTTGTTCATTTCAGTATTTGATTTTTGTCCGGAGATCTCCTCCTACATTTTTCAACCGATCTCTTTGAAACTTGGTATACATTATAGTCATGATATGAAGTTGTGTCTCCTCGAAAAGAATTTTGATTCAACAATTTTTGCAAAATTTACTGCCCTTTGTTTATTTCAGCATTTGATTTTTGTCCGGCAATCTCCTCCTACATTTTTCAACCGATCTCTTTGAAACTTAGTATACATTATAATCATGATATGAAATTGTGTCTCCCTAAAAAGAATTTTGATTCGATAATTTTTCTAAAAGTTATTGCCCTTTGTTTATTTCAGTATTTGATTTTTGTCCGGCAGTCTCCTACATTTTTCAACCGATCTCTTTGAAACTTGGTATACATTATAATCATGATATGAAGTTGTGTCTCCCTTAAAAAAAATTAGATTCGATGATTTTTGCAAAAGTTATTGCCCTTTGTTCGTTTCAGTATTTGATTTTTTTTGTCTGGAGATCTCCTACATTTTTTGACAAATTTCTTTGAAACGTAGTAGGCTAAATAATCAGGGTATGTTGTTGTGTTTCCTTGAAAAGAATTTTGATTTGATGATTTTTGCAAAAGTTATTGCCCTTTGTTCATTTCAGTATTTGATTTTTTTATCTGGAGATTTTCTCCTTCATTTTTAGCTCACCTGGCCCAAAGTGCCAAGTGAGCTTATGGCATGGTGCGCCGTCCGTCGTCAACATTTTACTTTAAACAACTTCTTCTCAGTAACCAAAAGGCCTAGGGTGATGATATTTGGCCAGAAGCATGTTGGGATGAAGGGCTACCAACTTTTTTCAAATAAAAGACCTTGATTTTTATTCAAGGTCACAGGGTCAAATATGTTTAAAACCTTTAAACAACTTCTTCTGAATAACCAAGAGGCATAGGGTGCCTAAATTTCGCCAGTACCATGCTGGGATAAAGAACTACCAAGTTTGTTCAAATAAATGACCTTGGTTTATATTCAAGGTCACAGGGGTCAAATATCTTTAAAACCTTTCATCAACTTCTTCTGAATAACCGATAGGCCTAGGGTGATGATATTTGGCCATTAACATGCTGCGATGAAGGGCTACCAGGTTTGTTCCAATTCATGACCTTGACCTATATTCTAGGTCACAGGGGTCAAATATGTTTAAAACATTTAAACAACTTCTTCTGAATAATCAATAGGCCTTGGGTGCACAAATTTGGCCAGTAACATGCTGGGATAAATGGCTACCAAGTTTTTTCAAATAAATTACCTTGATTTATATTTAAGGTCACAGGGGTCGAATATGTTTAAAACCTTTAAACAACTTCTTCTGAATATTCGAGAGGCCTAGGGTGATGAGATTTGTCCAGTAACATGCTGGGTTGAAGAGCTACCAGGTTTGTTCAAATAAATGACCTTGACTTATATTCAAGGTCACAAGGGTCAAATATGTTCAAAACATTTAAACAACTTCTTCTAAATACCCAAAAGGCCTAAGGTGATGATATTTGGCCAGTAGCGTGCTGGGATGAAGGGCTACCAAGTTTGTTCAAATAAATGACCGTCATCCATTTTCAAGGTCACAGGGGTCAAATATGTGTAAAACGTTTAAACAACTTCTTCTGAATAACCAAAATGCCCAGTGTGATCATATTTGGCTAGTAACATGCTGGGATGAAGGGCTCCCAAGTTTGTTCAAATGAATGACCTTGACCCACTTTCAACCTAATGTCATTGTTTGACATTCATGGTCACACTGATATTCTGCCTGTAGCTGTATTTTAGTCCACTTTTAAGATTACAAGTGTGGAATTAATACCAGGTGAGCGATGCAGGCCCATTGGGCCTCTTGTTATAGCATGTCAGCTAACCACTCTTTGAATGATGCAGATCTTATTTCAATGTAAGAAAGTATATAACACTATATGGCATTCGACGGGCGTATATTGTACCGCCCCGCTGTACTCTTGTTCAATATTAAGGTGGAGGTCATTAGATCATAGCTATTTCTAAGAAAACAAGGTCATACCATAATTTACACAAATTCTAGAAGAAACACATACAAAGTACTACATATTAAATTTCTGTTTATATGTCAGACCTTAGTCCACTGAGTCACCTGAAGTACATGTTGGTCCTGGATGTCTCCCACAATAAAATCAGTCGCCTCCTCGACTTTGAGCCACCAAAGAACCTGAAGGAAGTCGATCTCTCATACAACGAGATAACGGAGATGTCAGACTTGTCCCAGCATCATTACCTGATGAAACTCAACCTAGATCGTATCCTTAGCAATATCTTTTTTATGAGTGGTTTATAAAGTGTTAATATTGGGCTGGGGTGGTTTTCATTGCAAAAACTGTTTTGTGTACATCAAAATTGTAAGTTCTCCTTTCAAAATGCCATTTTTTCTTTAGCAAAACTTTAACTTAAATCATAAAGACAGAAAAAAATTAGGTTCGGGGACTTTCGGGAAAAACATATACATTTGCCACAGGTAGGACACTGACAAATGAACACCTGTGTAACAAGAAAACGCAGCAAAGCTGCTGGACGCCAAACGAAAATGACTAACTGGTCAGCCCAACAATCTTGAGGGAACGGATCCTGCACACTTGAATAGTTTTATAAATTGTTAATGGCACTATTTTTGCATTTAGCATGTCAACGATTAGTTAATAACGTCATCTTCTGATAGAGAGAAGCAGCGATCGTTACAAATAGTGACCATGTATGAAATATCAACACCCCCGCCCCCCACCACTTGAATAATAGTTATTACTTCTCAAGACTGTTACGAAGACATATTTTGTCCCAATGCTGGATTTTTGGTTGTAATCACATATTCGTTCTATACAAGTGAAATGAATAATCCGTATTAAATGGGAAAATCATGAAATTTTCTATTTCATACATTTTTTTTACAACACGCCACGCAAATATTGCTCGTCAGAAAAGCGCGGAAGTGTGTAGCATACTGCTTGTCGCCAAGTTTTACTTGTATGACGTCATGCTTGACAACAATATAGAGCGCCATTTTGAATGGGATTTACTGCAATTTTACGGTTTCCTCCTATTATCTGGTAACATTTACAGACAAAAATGATATTAATAGTGTAGGTATATAAAAACAATAATGTAGGCTGCATAGGTGGTACACTCAACCACTTATTCTGCCGTCACTTCATCTCAACTTGAAACTGAAAATGTACGCAGAGAATAGAATGTACCGCTCAGATTGGACCATACTAAGAGTGACGTCTTCACATGCGAATATAAAATATTTTGTATTTACCAAATGGAAAAGTCCTACCATTTCACTGGTAAGAACAACAGATACTGTAGGGTTAACTATCAGTTTTTGAAGACAGTATGGGGACCTGAATTTCCCAGAAGGGTTCCACGCATGGTAAAGCACCGGAAGTGGACAAAGTGTTTACAGATCAAACCCTGATAGCGCTTCGCACCGCTTGGGGGTTTGAAAAAAATCTTGTATCCCATTATTTTATCTTGATTTTAGTGACATTGAAATTGATGATTGAAGATACACTTATCATGCAAGTACATTTAGTGAAATCAATTATCTATATTGTATTACTCTTAAGATATAATCAGATCATTTGATTTGTAAATTTGACCAAATTACCTTGACTATACAAAAGACAATCAAATATCTGAGATAAGTGGTCTGAAGAACTGTCAAAGACTGCACACTCTACAGTTAGCCCACAATAAAATCGCCAAAATACAAGGACTTGATCACCTGCCGATAAAGCATCTGGACCTGGTTTGTATTTGAAGATCAAGTTTTCTGTAAATAAGAAATTTGACCAATGGCATCAATATGAAAATGAAAGAAACAATTGATTTGTGATTAAATATTACAAGAAAAATGTTTAAGAAATGTATAAAGGGCCGGTTTCCAAAACGGCCCCTTCTCTGATTCAAATTTCCTGTTGGTGGTGCATTGCCCATGCCGTTGTGGTCACAAATCTATAAAGTATAAAGATTTAGGTCACTTGGTTTGTTTTTTATGGCTCCTCAAAGTTGTACCTTTCAGAAGCTGTCTAAGTGTTGATAAAATGTGCATGTTATGTAAAATATTAATGAAAATCTAATCAAATGATGGTCACCGTAAAGAATACATTCATGGCATGATTGTGACAAAAAATCATGTTTCCATCGCGCCATTTGGCTGTTTTATGGAAGAAACAATCTCAAAAATGCCATTTTCGATGATAACATTTTAGACACAAAAACTGTGTTTTTTAGAGAATACACCCTTTTATGGGCGTTGGATGCAAACCAATTTTTATCCTATTAAACAGTACGTAATATGCTATTGATGAGAGGAAAAATCATCAAAATGTAAGTGGTGGAACATTTTCAAATGTTGGGTTGAATTAGCCTATGGTTGAATTGCCGATTTTCGACTTTCTTTAGATAATTAACAAAAAAACGAGAGTATTTGCTCGGTATGTTGAGAATATGTACACAGATATGAAAAAAAGTGAGAGAAACACTTTTTCATAAAAAAAATCCAAGATGGCTACTTCACAAGTCCCCGTGGTTGAAGACATTGGCTGACAAATAGACAGAACAACAAACAAAACGTGTTCCTTATGATTTTGGTTGGTTTTCGCATTTACGGGAGTGTTCATAGCTACGGGCGATTGTATAATACCTATATTTATAAGTTTGGTTAGTCACATGGTAACGGGGATCTTTCATATCGAGCCCCAAACATACTTTCGACATATGCACTCCGTTGCCGCATGGATAACTATTTCAAGTTTTGTCGGAATTTCTTTACCTGTGGTTGTAATGGTCGAGGGTTTTCCAACGTCCTGTAATACCCAAGGTAGTACAAGATACTGGAGATGTGCGCACACATTCCCATCGTTCTCTCTCCAACTGGGCACTGGCAGTAGTAGTCCTTTATTGGGGCCTCAACATCGGGTGAAACGGTGAACCGTATCCAAACGTTATATTTCGTTTGGCTTTTGTGTCGAGAATGTATTTGACATCGGAGAAGGTCTGGGGAGTGCTGGTAAAGCCACACCTCATAGTCTCCGTCATCACTTAAATGTTCGGCGATGTAACCAGGAGCCAGAGATATCTGATACGTTCCACACGTAATGGTTCTCAAGTAATCAAGATCGAGACGGGGAAACAGTACGGAAGATGCATCCATCTTGACAAACTCGGACCTTGCCCGTCTAGATAGATCCGGATCTGTCTTGACTCTCTGAGCTAAACCATTCGGTGTTGTCAAACGGTCCTTCATACGTTCAGCCATTAGCCTATCTTTGGCATCTCTCTCTGGAGATCTCTGGTAGATCGGTCCTCTAATACCATTCAGACAGGCTGTGACGGTTCGAAGCAAAGCCTCGATGACATTGATAAAGCTGTTAGACACCAATTGTGTTCGGAAGAACGTCCAGTGTTTCAAATGACCATGATAGGATTCCACAATCCACCTCGATTTGGTGATAGTTCTGTCAAGATTTGCTTGGACGTCAGAATGTTGACTTTGACCGGGTTTCAGGTATGACGGCATGCTAGCATTGAGGCCAGAGGCTTCGAGAACTGGTAGGACATCTCTAAAACCTCGGTCAACGACAACGTTGTCGTCTGGTTGTAGCCAAGTAACTAGCTTGTCCATGACTTTTTTTGTAATTGTAGCATCATTTTCGCTGCCAGTGAATGGTCCTACTGTGTCCAGAATGTAGCCATCTGGTAAGGCGATGCTCATGAATTTGAGATAGTTTCTCTTCTTCTGGCCACAGTAGGACATTCTCTGGAGCTTGTGGTCGGAGCTTTTCTGGATATAAATATAGGTGCCATCTAATATGGCAGTGGCTTTATCTCCAAAAAATGCTTCTGAAAAGACAGTATTGTGCCCGAGCAACTGTTCTCTTGTCAAGTGATCCGGACCTAGAAATTGTGGGACTATCGATGTGTCTAATGCCTGTACTATGGAGTGGAAAGTTTTGGACACACTTGACTTGGAAATTCCAAAAAGAGAAGAACACTGACTCCAGGAAATGTCGGTTTTCAGTTTTACCCAGAACAGTAATAGAGCATCGTGTGTAGTCTTGGTATATATACCAGATGAAAGATATGGGGAACAGTGCGAGTGGATTTCGAGGAACTGATCTTTGGACCAACCTGTCCAGGCCATGCATGCCGAGTCATCAAGAGAAGAAAAGCTTATTGTAAACGCAGACTGGTTCTGTGAAAGGACGTGCGACACCTCTAGGAGGTCATTAATGATTTCGGACGATTTTGATGGTAACTGAGATTCCAAGGAACCTCTACCATCAAGGACAACCTCTGTAGACGGATCTAAGTCGTTACCAATAAGGTGAATGGAGCAGACGCGGGATGAGGTGGGACACCACAGTTTGTGTGAATAGATCAGGTGATGTCTTGCACGTTTTGGTAAGACTGATGATTTTGTTCCATTTCTTGCAAAGGTAACAAGACAGAGACAGCATTTTTTGTGTGAAGATGATCCATTCAAAAGATCATGAAGGGTCAGCAACGGCAGGATATGGGACGGGGAGTCGTCTTCTTCCTCTATTTCCTGGTTCTGCTCGGGTTCAGGTTCAGGCTGATTTTTGTTCCGAAGATACTTCATGTAGCACTTCTGGCAAATAAGTGCTTGTTCCTTTGCTGACATCAATCCTTGTTGCACCAGCGTATCTAGGAGCCATTTATATTGTGGACTATTTACATTGCGTGCACTTCTGTTCTTATTGCCACTACGTTTCTTGAAGTATACTTGACACCCTTCTCCAACACATTTACCCTCCATCTTGAAACAATAACGATTGGTTTATGAAGCGTCGATAAAGTAACAAAATAGCAAGCCACCGATGATTGCTGTAAACAGCTAATACTTAGTAGTTTGGTACAATTATGCGAAAATGTGTGATAAATAACGAACAACTAATTACACAAAATAACAAGACAATATAATAAATCACATTCAATACCTCCAAGAAGCGCAGAATTGATTGATTACTTAGAACAAAATAAAGTATTTCATATGGATAATCTATCTATTCGATGTGGCGTGGTCGGCAGGCACAAAGAAAGTGAGACAAGTCAGGGTCCCAACCCTGACAGAGCCACAACGCTTTGGAGATGGGACAATAAAACAAGGAAAGTGAGACAAGAATAGCTAGCGTCGAGTCAATGATTCCGTAAACGTATAGACAAAGACAAGAAGATACGGATAAATGTACAAGGCCACACGATCAGAAAATTCAGAAGAGGACAACTTGAGATAGAACAGTATTCATGTATCAGGGTGTCCTCAGTGTAAATCTTTATATCGATACTGTTTATTTAGTCGTTACACATCATAAAACTGTCATGAAAATATCCGCTCTGATATTCAATATAAAAGTTTGTATATAATAAGCTATATAATAGGGTTTCAGACAAGGTTGTTACTCATTTCCCCTTTTCTTTCAATTTACAACCACATTCAGGCGGCGATATGAGAACGTTCCACCACATGGAATTAGCTGATTTTTGGTACACATATGAAACAAGTAAAGCTCTATCCGATTTTCTGATGGAAATTTGCATCCAAAACTATATAACGGGAGAAAATTGCAATTTTATGGCATTTTTCTTCATAATTGTGTCTCTGCAAGTGCATTTTCATCCGAGAATTTTTTTTTTTATGTTTTATGAATAAACACGATGTTTTGGAAATATTTATCAAAAGAAATTTATACTATGTTGCGAATTACAATTTCGAGATAACCTTCTTTTATTTACGAACTTATGTCTTTGATGCTGAAATTGACAACTTTATAAAAATACATTTTCACTGAAATTATGAAATCTGGGTGTCGGAAAGGTGTAAAATTATTCTTCGGAAAAGAAAAAAACAGTAGTTGAGCTAGATAAGAAATTATACGGGGGCAGGCTCCTATGGAGAATTAACATTACTGGAAACAGGCCCTTTACATAATAATTAATCAATATCTAATTTTTCTTTTTTCATTTTTCAGTGCCACAATCAGATTAAAAGGATTGAAAACTTAGAAACATTGAAGAAATTACTGGTAAGAATAACAATTTTTCGGATAAATGTATATATTAAATAGATATTTCGTATTATATAAACAACGTTTGAGAATTGTAATGGTTCGTCTCTTCGAAAATTCAATAAACTATAGATTCTGGATTGTTACCAAATTTGTTCTTAATTGGTTATTGATAAATCTGTCTAGATATTATAATTAAAGAAATACATCAATTCAATTTTTTTAATCTACTGTTATAATATAGATAATATATACTGTAAATGAGTCTATAATAAACTTTTCATTTTTGACACCAGAGAGTGAATTTTGCTGGAAACAACATCCGAAGCCTGAAGGGAATACAGGAACATGACCTTTTGGAGTCCATTGACCTTGAGGACAATGAGGTTAGCTTCAAATTGGCTTAGTTTGTTAGCTCACCGGCTCGTTCGTCAACAATTTCTTTGAACAACTTCTTCTTCTTAAACACTGATTGGAATTTAACTAAATTTGACTGGAAGCATCCCTAGGTGGTGGGGATTCAAAATTGTACAAATGGTAGGGCTGACTCTCCAGGGGGCTGAGGAGTGGGGCCAAAAGTGGGCAATTTGGCTATATTGCTTTAGGCGATTTCTTCTCTGGAACTAAGGGATGGATATCAACCATATTTGACTGGAAGCATCCCTAGGTAGTAGAGATTCAAAATTGTACAAATGGTTGAGCTGATCCCCCAGGGGGCTGAGGGGCAGGGGCAAATTGGCTATATTGCTACAAACGACGTCTTCTGTAGAAATATGCACTGGATATCAATCATATTTGATCAAAAGCATTCATAGGAGGCAGGGATTCAAAATTGTACAAGTGGTGTGGCTGACCCCCAAGGGGACTGAGGGGCATGGTCAAAAAGGGTTATTAGGCTTTATTGCTTTAAGCGACTTCTTCTCTGGAACAAAGAGATGGATATCAACCATATTTGACTGGAATCATCCCTAGGTGGTGGGGATTCAAAATTGTACAAATGATGGGTCTGACCCCCCAGGGGGCTGAGGGCGGGGGCAATTTGTCTATATTGCTATAAACAACTTCTTCTGTAAAAATATGCCATGGATATCGATCATATTTGGTCGGAAGCATTCATGGGAGGCAGGGATTCAAAACTGTAGAAATGGAGGGGCTGACCCCCGGGCTAAGGGCTGGGGCCAAAAAAAAGTTTATTACTTGGAAATGGTTGAGATCCCCACCGTATAACCATATATGCTTCCAGGATGGCTCTAGGGTCTGGCCCCACCCTTGGAGACATAGTACCTGGGTCATAACTTTGAAATAGAATTGATCCCGGGGTCTGGCCACAACCCTAGGGACCTAGTTTCCGAGTCACAGCTTGGAAACAGTTGAGATCCCCACCCCATAACCAATCGAATACAGATATGCTACAAGGATTGGCCTTGGGATCTGGCATATTCCCTTTGCCATGATTGCTTAGATATCCAGGTGAGCGACACAGGCCCTCTGGGCCTCTTGTTTTTTTATGTCCTATTAACAGCTTTGGTCATTTAAGAACCAGTATTGGTAGTTGAGGAAAACAAGAGTGTACAGAGAAAAACCAACTTGCAGCTAGTACCTGGTGTTTGCCCAATGTAGGTCTTGAACCTACGACCCAGTGGTGGAGGGCTAGTGATTGCAGACGGTCAGACGCCTTAACCACTCGGCCACTGAGACCCAGTGGTGAAGGGTTAGTGATCGCAGACAGTCAGATGCCTTAACCACTCAGCCATCACGACCCAGTGGTGGAGGGCTAGTGATGTCAGACGCCTTAACCACTCGGCCGCCACGACCCAGTGGTGGAGGGCTAGTGATCGCAGACGGTCAGACGTCTTAACCCCTTGGCCATCGTGACCCACAGTTGGAGGGCTAGTGATCACAGACGGTCAGATGCCTTAACCACTCGGCCACCACGAGCTAGTGGTGGAGGGCTAGTGATCACTGACCTTCAGATGCCTTAACCACTCGACCACCACGAACCAGTGTTGGAGGGCTAGTGATCACAGACGGTCAGACGCCTTAACCACTCGGCCACCACGACCAAGTGGTGGAGGGCTAGTGATCGCAGACGGTTAGATGCCTTAACCACTCGGCCACCATGACCCAGTGGTGGAGGGCTAGTGGTCGCCGACGGTCAGATGCCTTAACCACTCGGCCACCACGACCCAGTGATGGAGGGCTAGTGATCTCAGTCGGTCAGACACCTTAACCACTCGGCCACCACGACCCAGTGGTGGAGGGCTAGTGATCGCAGACGGTTAGATGCCTTAACCACTCGGCCACCACAACCCAGTGTTGGAGGGCTCGTGATCACAGACGGTCAGACGCCTTAACCACTCACCCACCACGACCCAGTGGTGGAGGGCTAGTGATCACTGATGGTCAGACGCCTTAACTATTCAGCCACCACGAACCAGTGTTGGAGGGCTAGTGATCGCAGACCGTCAGATGCCTTAACTACTCGGCTACCATGATCCAGTGGTGAAGGGCTAGTGATCGTAGAAGGTCAGATGCCTTAACCACTCGGCCACCACGACCCAGTGGTAGAGGGCTAGGGGCTAGTGGTCGCTGACAGTCCGATGCCTTAACCATTCGGCCACCACGACCCAATGGTGGAGGGCTAGTTATCACTGATGGTCAGACGCCTTAACCACTCAACCACAGCAGCCACATGACCAGATTCTAATTTGGTTCAGAAATTATAAAACTACCCTACTGAGGTGAAAAATTAAGACTACCACTCACCTTTGAAATGTAAATTTATCAGGTAAAATTTGATATCATCTGTTCTAGAATATTAAGTAAGTTATTCTTTTTCTTTATTTTTAATTAAATGCTGATTAAAATTGATTAATTCCCTTGGTGTTAATTATTTTTTTCTTTTATCACAGGTAATAGATATTTCAGAAATCAAATACATACAAGACTTGGAGATGTTGCGTGTGTTGAATTTATTACGGAACCCCATCCAGGAGCTTCCTGACTACCGCCTGTCTATCCTGTATCGGATACAGAGACTGAACGAGCTGGATCGTCACCGTGTGGAAGCAGAGGAAAAGGTAACTATAGAGAAGGGAATTCAGGAAATGGAAATCTAAGAAAATGTGGAGAAAAATTAAATGCGACACCGATTTATTTAATTTTCTTACAATCCTCCTTTTCTTTTTTTTTAATTGAAAGCATTGAAGTAAGTGTAAATATAAAAATAAGAAGTAATGAATCAAAATTTATATGAAGGAACGAGAAAGTGAAAGACGGTTTATTTTTATTCCAGTTTGATTAATGTTACAGTAAAGCATTGTCTAATAATAGCTAGTATTTCAGAAAGGTTTGTTCTCAAAATTTGATCATGAGGGGTACATACATGTAGTCATATAATTTATGCATAAAGTCCCCTTTCAGATTATTATTACTTTAGCTAGTTTCCCACATAGTATCTTTTCAATGTTTTGACTACCCAAAACCAGTTATTGATATTTTGAGGTACATTAATATAACTCCTGTTCTTTTAAATGCCACAGAAGCTTAAGGATCACCAAACCACTGCCCAAAACTGTGTCTAGGCTAGTAAGAGGTTCAGCATGTCTCTCGTTTTGATAAATCATTTCTGAAAAGAAAAAAACAAACCTTGTAGGGCTATTATGAAAATGAAATGAACAAAATTTATACAACAATAGTGTTATAAATGTAAAATATTTAGCTAGGCAATACCAGATTCAAACCCTGGACTTCAAATTGTTGCACCCTGTCCCACTGTGGTTTTCTGTAAATGCAGTAATTACCTCCCCTTATCTTCAGTTCGGATATAACTGTAACACATTTGCACCAGAGACTTCCATTGACCAGGTTAAGCTGACAGTTTTCAAAAGCCACTTTTTCATTATGTTTAAAAACATATTTATACATTTGATAGCTTGCGAAACAATTTAATAACATCAAGATTGTGAAGTAGATCTAGATTGTGTCAGTACTGTGTATAATGATGTGATGTTTGATTTCCATTACTTTCAGGTGGCTTCAGTAAACATGTTTAACCCACCACTGGAAGTGATTGCGGCCAGGGACCACATCATGCATGTTGTGTACTCCTTCCTACAGCTGAGCCGAGTCCTTGACAGGTAAATCACAAGAATAGCCATGAAATTACTGTTTATGCAGTTTATTTTCCCCCACAACATCAACTATAGGTTTCCTCACTCCCGAGTCGTTGGTTAAACCTGATAGGAGTTGGTAAACGTTTTGTTACCGACTTATAGGTGTTAAGTAGGTAACACCTGGATGTCTTTTCATTGGTCATTTTTTGAATTATGACACCTTGTAAAAATGCTTTGCACTGTGTCATCTTCAATGGTGACGCCATGATTTATGGCAATAGCTTCCCTGATTGGAAGCAGAAATAATGCATTTCAATGGGAAACGTATCGTTTTCTAGATAGAATATGGGTGTTATTGGCAAAAAAAGGTGCCGATCCTGCAATGTCTGATTATCATGTTATTAAACTGTTAAAGACACGTGGTAAAGCTTAATAATTATAATGTGTCTTTACACTATTTAAAAATTAACTAACTTGAGTCAGATAAACATGATAACCAAACATCATTCGTTGTGAAACCTCTATTTATCTTAGGTAGTTAATTTTTTCAGTTCGGATAATATGACTGTACTGGTATCCTGATTTTTTCAGCACATTGCCCAGTATAGAGACACCCTACCCTATGCTGGTCCTGGTTGGGCCTCAAGGATCTGGCAAGAAGGACCTTGCCATGAAGCTGGTCGACGAGTTTTCTGATTACTTCGGCTATGCGTGAGTTAAAACATATAAATTTAGTTTAAATTATGACCAAAAGAAAAGTATATCTGTTCAAATACTATATAATAATAATGTTCTTTTGACGTTTGTTCCAGGTAAAAGTTTTGGAACATTATCAATAAAGTGGTCTATTTGTCTGTCTGTGTCTCATAAAAAAATATGTTTCTGAATGTTAACGCTTTAAAGCAATCAATCCTATGTAAACCAAGTTGTGTGAATGAAGAAAGAGGAAAAGAAGCTTATAGATTTTGGGGTCTCTAAATCAAGTGTCAAGGTCACAGCTGCTATAAAAAGACAGAAATTATAGGAAATGTTGGTTTTCTGGATGTTAATACCTCTGGAACATTATATATGATTACTTCAGTCCTAACCCAAATTTAGATGGATGATGTCCCATGGAAAGAGAAGCACTCCTATTGAGTTTAGGGTAACTAGGTCAAAGGTAAAGGTCACAATAGCTATAAATTGATCAAAATTTTATAAAAAAAAAAAATCAGGTGATTTTTTGATGAATCGATATTTATGGAATTTAAATTTTGTTTAGAATATCACACACGACACGGAAGATGCAGCCAGAAGAGACTGACGGGATTGACTACCATTTTGTGACTCTCGAAAAATTTGAAATGGACATCAAAATGGTAAATACAATGCCATAGCATGATTCAATATCATTAATAGAGCTATAATAGTGTATACAGTGCAGCCTCTCAAATCCAGCTATCTAGATTTTCTGTAGATATTTGAGTCACCTACTTTCCAAGTAGATAATCAAGCCAGCTAAGTTCCCAGTAGATTAATAGAATCTCGCCCTACCTTTAGGGTAAGTGTGACTAAGAAATCTCCAACCTTCAGGGTAATTTTTTTGGGGTTTTCTAACTCAAGGCTCTGCTGATGGTTTGAAAACCAAATATATTGAGGGTTGGCAATTTCTCTGTTACACCCTCAAGAAAGTGATTATTTTTGCCCCATCCTTTTATTTCAGTCACTGCTCCACTGACAGTGATCTGATATGTTTTAAAAAAAAAGTACATGTGGTATATTAATATTGCCATTTACTTTTTATGTTGTCACAATTTAATAAGCCTGTGCTATTTCTCACTTGTGAAGAATGGGAGAAAATTCAGCCAATTACCAGTATGTTTCTAGTAGATGATCATCTCTTACCTTTCTTTCTACTAAATACTCCAACCACCTACATTCCCAGTAGAAAATCCAGCCATCTTTATTCCTTGTGAATAAATTTAATGCAGCCACATGTACCCTAGTTTCAGTAAATATTCTGGCAACTTCCCTTCCCAACAGAGGATCAAGCCATCTGTATTTCCAGTTGATTGTCAAGCCATCTTTGCTCTTAGCCGATAATCAAGCAACCTTATATGATAAATGGTTGTGAACCAGAACTAAAATTGACAGTCATTTAGCTACTGATAATGAAACTAAAAGGAGATGTACTTTTTTCCTGAATAAAACTGAAAAGTAAAGATGCTTTAGTAATTTTTTAGCAGTTTAAGAATTATTAACTTTAAGTTCTTTTGTCTTTCAGGGCCAGTTTATCCAGACATACCAGTACCACGGAGATTGGTACGGCCTACAGATGGAGTCTATAGAGAGTGTGGCCAGGGAGGGACTTGCTTGTGTGGTACACATGGAACTAGAGGTATGGCCATGCTAATGGCAGGGCTGTGTGGTAAACACATGCCTGATCTCTTGCTATTATAAGTGTAACAGGAAAAAGAGAAATACAATGGCCAGACCTGTATTTGAAACCGGAACCCTCCGAACTCTAGACCGACGCTCTGCCAATTGAGCTACCTCATTGCTGACAATCAACCCAGTCCAGTTCCACTATATTCCTCTCTCCTTTTTATAAGTCTTGAATTCGCCCTTGACACAACTTTTTACAACCCTGGTTTGGGTATCCCCTTGCCAAGCATTCACCCAGTGCTTGAAACAAGGGTAGGCAAGCTAGCCAATTTTGTAACAGGAGAAAGAGAAATGGAACGGCAAGACCGGCATTCCAACCCGGGACCCTCCAAACCCTAGATGGACGCTCTACCGAATGAGCTACCTGATCCCGATGATTGACTTAGTCCAGATCCATTACATTAGCATAAAGCTGCCGTTAACCCCCTTGATTCCTAACCCCACACTTAATATATCTTTCAGTATTTTTTTTATACATTCTGGTTTGCAGGGTGTACTGACAGTTAAGAACACCTACTTTGAGCCACGCTATGTGTTGATCATGCCATTGGGTCATGACTCCCATGAGAAACGCCTACGTGACAAAGGGAATTACACTGAGGGTCAGATAGAACACACCCTGTCGCGGGCCGATCTGTATGCAGGCTACAACCAAGATCACCCAGGATTTTTTGATATGATGATTGATAGTGGTAAGATGTGTTGTAGACTTTATTTTACTTTCAAATTTATTTTGTTGTGCACTATATTTATCAAAGGGAACGAGCTGATTTTATTTGACTTGTACTGAATATATAATATTTACGTGTGTTTAATTTTGACATCAGAACAAACATGGTTACATTATAACTTGAACGAAATCTATAATGTGACCTATACAGCTCTCTTCATCCTTTGCTGACAATGATCAGAAAAACATTTGCACACTAACACTGGGTAGTTAAAATTGTGTGAAAGTAATGGTGTATTTATACTGAAGAATGGCACTTTTTTGGTTATATTTTTGAAGAAATAAGATTGTGTAAAAGTTAAACTAATTTGTTAGTTATTTTTTTTTGCAGATTTACAAGTTGTTTCATGGTTTCAATTTTTTGCACTTACAGCATTATAAGTTTTCTATAAAAAGCAGAATAATGTTGTAGGCCATAGTTTTAGTTCAACTTGGTATTTTTAGAAACAGACTTTAGTTCTTTGAAACAGCAATTATTTCCACTGGATTTATTTCTTGACACAAATATATGATCTTTGAGAAAAGCAAACGCTTTGATCCAATTAAGGCTAAAAATAAGAGCTTAAATTTACAATGTGCAATGCTCAGGGAAAACAATAATTACAAAGTGATACATAGACTGTCATATTTTTTTTTAGATGACATCCAGGTTGCTTACAAACGTTTACGGCGCCTGGTGATGGACTACTTAGGAATCAGCATCAACAGATCACCAGCAGGATCGATCGACGGTGACGTAGAAACACATGCCGAAACTGACGTCCATGGAACTACACAGTTAGGAACCAGGACTTGGTCCAAACCAAGTATCGCAGATAGTGCTGGAATGTCTCAAGCTTACACACGGACCAAAAATACACAGTCGCCTGTACAGTCAGGGCGCGGCCTACTGGTAAGCTATATTTCTCGTAATAAACATACATATCCTTTGTTTTCTTCCTTTCTTTAGTTACTGTGAAATCACTCATTTTCATAAGGTTTTTAATTTCCTTGATTTCATCCAGTCTTCATCCAGGAATTCATATGTTCACAAAGTAATTACAAGTTTGACATAAAGGAATACTCTCTTTGAGTGGGTACTGTAATCCAGGAATTCATGTACCCACCAAATGATGTTTTGTAAGGAAATCATGAAATTTGGATCCCACCAATGTATCTGATTTCAAAGTACATGTAAATGAGGCCTTCCTTGACTTTTCTATGCATATATTAGGTTTAAGAATATTGTTTGTTGATAAAAATGTTAGAATTTGGAATCAATATTACTACAAATATTTGCACAAGGTTTCTGTTTGTGAGCATGTTTTGTTAAAAGGACTTTGGGTGTGTTTTATTTCATTAACTGAATACATGTTTTTTAAGTAAATAAGCTTAGAAAATCTTTCCTGTACTGATTAAACAATTTTATTGCAATAACAGGAAGAGGCGTCTTGGAGAAGAAGACACAGTGCGGCTAGGGACGCAGTATCGGGGTACATCCCCCCATTGTTTGAGCAGATAGTTACTCAGTAAGTATTCACACACACACATAATCTTTATTTCCTCTCACTCTTGACGCTCCAACCACTTTATTTCTATCTTGTATCTAGATATACATACTCCAGTGGTTACTCTCACTAACTGCACTCCTGGAATATACAACCACAATTTTACAGTTACAGTTGAGCACTTTTTTCAGATGACAATATATAATGTGATATGTATTGCAATACTTTTCTTCTATATTGCAATATATTGTGATACACTTCAGATGTATTGTGGCATCCCTAATATTACCCTGAGTTATTATAGTTTAGATAACCTCAATACTGAAAACCATCATTATCTGCAGGTATCCCAAGACAGCACCTCAGACAGTGGAAGGTCAAATGGGGTTAGGGGACGGAGAGGTCAGCAGGTCATATTCCGCCCCTGTACAGAAACCACCACATGCTGAATCGGACGAAGATAGCTCCAGCGACGAACGTTCGGACTCCATGTTGTCGGTTGCCTCAGCAGGTGATATGGGTGGGGGTTCTCCGGAGGGGTCAGTTCACGGTGGTGGTAAAGGTCCTCAGTTACCCACAGAAACCATGAATCCCTTAGAGTTTATGGAGGAGGAAAAAGGAGGGAAATCTCAAGCCAGTCAACCAGGGGATCTTCACGAAGCAAGGCCGCCATCTGCCCCACGACCGGGGTCAAGAGGCCGACCAGGATCAGACCGACATAAAGTGCTGCCCCCTATATCACCGATTCAAAAAGTGGACTATATTCCTGAATATTGATTGTTATTGTTTTGATATTATTATTGACAGAAACTTTATCATTTTAAAATGTGACTGAAACTGTATGTGGATGATGTTTATCATAGCAGTGATTAGATAATGGGAAAGCACACTAACAGTGAAACATTGGCAAGGGGTTTGTTTTCAGAATTGGTTGTGTTTTGATTAATATGACTAATACTATCATTGACACTTTCATGAACAAACAAGATATATGGCGTAAGTTGATATGATACATGTGACTTAATATTTATCAAATTTGTATGCTTTTGATGTAACAATTGGATATGATATCAGGAAAGAAATATTTACATAGTACATTGTATTGAACATGTTTTGGGCAATAAAGTCATATCAAGTTTACTGACAAAAGGACTTGATTTTTTTTTTTTTTTTTTTAAATATTGCAGAAAAAATGTCAATAATGTTATCTAACACCAGTGAAAAAAGACGAAAATACCTTTGTCCAATAATTTTTACAAACATATATAAATATCTATCATATACTTGAAGATCAATCCACTGAACAGGCTCCAAGAACTGTCATCCATGATGATCAGTCAGATAATAAATTACTTTGATATACAGTTTTTTTTAAAGCTGTTCTGGAAACAGACAAAACTTATTCTGTAGTGCTTGGGAAGTTCTTGAAAAGTGTTGTCTCAGACAACTTAATAAAACCAGAGGACAACAGTTCTCTTCGAGCAATTTCCCTGATAGTAAGATAGCCAGATAATAGCGTTAGCTGGGTTAACCCGACTCGTGTCTTCTAGCTGTTGATATGGACACTTTGTGTTTGACTTATTAGATTGTAAATTAACATTTTTAAATCTGTGATATCATTGAAGCCAAATGATCTTACTGTTGGTTTTTGACAATTTTTTTTATCAGGCCACAAACTGCAGTTATAGATTCTTACTAGCTTAAATGAAAAAAAAACAAAAACTTTTTTTAGTGATATTTTGAAAAAGAAAGTTTTCATTCCAATATTGTATGAACTAAATTGCAGGTGTTGTATATATGTATATAATGATGTACCTTGATACATTGTATTATAAATTGAAATATATGTACATGGTTGAATAAAACAAAATTAAAACATCATCCTTTTTTTTAAGTGTTTTTTTTCTCTAAGTGAAACATTGACTGACATATCCAAAAGAGGTTTCAAATTGCCTTTGTATTGGCTTGTCCTGAAATCATGTAAAAGCTGACACTATATTATTATCTCCCTTTGATGATATTGAAGAAGAATTCAGATCAGTTATATGTAGTCAAAAGATATTGACATTGATCGATGGAGCCCACTACATGTGCTATGTCGTTCCATCACATTATGGTAAACCTGATCATGCTGTTGCTGAACTTGTCTAAAGAAACGTAAACTTTATAGGTTCAGATCTAAGAAATACAAATCAGATAATATGTCTTCAAAATTTGGCATTCTTTTATTCATTAACTCATTTAATTTTACACGCACACACAAAGATCATGCAGTTACATTCAGGTTAATTTGAATGATAGTTGTAATGTACAGGTCATGAATGGCAGTTACAAATACATGTGTGTAAACTACACAAAATTTGATGGAATATTTTGTCTACATGTCTGAAACATTTCAAAGATCTAAATTATGCTTATGTAGCAATGATGGATACTTGTTGACATCTGTGATATTGTGGTAGACATCAGTTATTGAGTAATCACTAAAACATTGTAGTAGATTGCTGGTATAGAGTCAATTGATACTTAGTATTATTACAAAAAGCAAGGTTATAGTTAAAAAGAGTGTTAGCTACTCAAAACATAACTGACAAATGTAATTTGTACCAGAAATTCAGTACTTGAATTTCAAAATAAAATAAAAATCACAGTCTAATTTTAAATGCATGATGTCATTTCAAAATGTTGGGAATTTTCCATTTCACAACGTATACTATTTGCTTGTTCGCCAAAAGTCTGTTCATCCAACATCTGGTTATCTGCGAGTAGCCCGTCTGCCTTTACCCTTTTCTGGCTTGACCTTGCCACGAATGACATTCAATCGCTGAATCTCATTGATGACACCTAAATGGGTGTCCCTGGAAAAGGAAGAAAAATAAAAAGTCTATTTTTATAAATCTCGGCTACTGTAGTGGTACACATTAAATCACCTTATAGATCAATAGTACACAAAATCCATGGTGTAAAAACAATGCAAATTAAAAAAGAATAAAAAAGTGTTCAAGTAATGATGGGAATGAAGTTGTCACCCTAGGCCATGAATATTTTGTCGCCAAATCTGAAAAAGTGTTGCAATCTCGCAACTTGGTGATCAATAATGCGAGCCCTGAAAAAGGACATGCTCTGATCTGTGACTGGCGGCCAGAATACACCCATCAAGTCATGATCAAGCTGTACGGTATATGCTTGCAAAGGTAATATTACGTACACATGTAGTATTGCTAGTTTCTAGAGATTATTGAAATGTATACCCATATATACTTTCTTTTATTAATTACAAAGACGCCATGTAAATACCACCCTTTATTTGTTCATTTATGTGCACATTGCGATGATTATCTGCTTGCTTAGATGTATAAAAGTGATTGTAAGCCTTTGTTTATATTTCACAATTATAACTAATACTATTACCCATAGGTTATAAAGCGCTTTAGAGTAATTTTACAAATTATATAGAGCGCTATATAAATGTTGTATATTATTATTATTAATTATTAAGGTAAAATTTATAGTATATAGTGAACAAGAGCCCACACATACTTTGTTTTGTTAATATCTATAAAAGATATAGTGAACAGCAGAAAAACCATTCATACCTGAACATCCCTAAAGTTCCAAGCTTGACATCTAGCCTGTTGATGACTTTATAATTAGGATAGTAGTCGACAACCTCTGGACGCAAATAAAAGGGTTTTTCTTTAAACATTCTTTCCACTCTTCGTGACTTGGTGTTTGTTGGTCTGGCGACATCACCAAATATTCTAGCAGCAAGCCTTCCCATTCGCAGTGAGTACTGAGACATTTTCCTGGAAAAAAATTAAAAGCACAGTATTGGTTACTATCAGTCACAATTGATTTTAAAAATACCAACTAGAATACAGACAGGTCAGCAAGGGCCTCACCATATACCTGACCTTCTCCCTCTGGTCTTCTTTAGTTAAGCTTGATCTTAGAAAAAAAAATAAACCTCTTTGCCCATTTAAATAACACACTGCAACACCATGTGAAAGGACTAGAAGGGTGTTAATGGTCATTTCTGGTCTCATCAGGGATAAAGAATTAGTCGTTATAAATACAAAATCTGGAATAAATGAAGTAAGCAAATATGAAGCTTCAAATTCATCCAACAACTGTAAGCATATGCATGCACCAAACAAATAGTTTTCATTCGTGGGAAGTCATTTTTGTTTGTCACATGAGGCTTTCATTTCTGCATTTTCTTAGCCCGTTAGATTTGTACATGGTCGACCAGATCTCCACACAGACCAATGATGAGGTTTTAAAGATGCAAAAGACCTCATCATTGGCGCTTTCCACATGCAACACAGGGATACCAAAACTATAGCTGAAGTAGACAAATCATTGAAATTGGCAACACAAAACCCTTCTGCAAATAACATCATACTTACAGGTGATTTCAATTGCCCTGGCATAAACTGGCAAAACCTAACGATACGACATGAAGCAAATGAAAAAGAAATCCAATGTCGACTAATTAATACAACTATACTAGCAGGCCTCATGCAAATCCATGAAGAACCTACAAGAAAAAAGAGCCTACTTGACCAAGTATTCATTATAAACCCAAGCCTAATCAAAACATCGAATAATATACCAGGCATCTCGGACCACGACATTGTAGTTACTGACATGGACACCAAACCATTCTACCAGAAAACACCAAAAAGGAAATCTTACATGTGGAGAAGAGCAAATTGGGTGGAAATAAAAAAGGAAATTGACAGTCTTAGCCCTACCATTAATAACATGGTTGAAAACAAAAAAAGTAGCAGAGGAATGCTGGCAGAAATTCAAAAAAAATCTACTAGACTCACTAAATTCAAATATACCAACTAGAACTGGTTCATCAAAAGGATAAGGAAAATGCTGAAGAAAAAATAAAACCTTTATAATCAAGCCAAAAAGACGGGAAATTGGAATAACTACCGGCACTATCAAAAAGACTGCAAATGTGAAATAAGGAAAGCGGAAAACGTTTATGTAACCAATGTTATACAAGAGGGACTAGATCAGAACTCTAAACCATTCTGAAAATATGTAAAATCAAGGAAACAGGATCACATAGGGGCGGCAGCACCAAAATCACAGAGCACACTTGTCAGTGACAGTAAAAAAAGACACAAATTTTACTGAACCAATTCTCATCTGCCTTCAACGGTAGTAACAACAAAATCACGCAGAAAACGTGTATAAACTTAAACCATTCGATTCCTTATCTAAATATTAAGCAAGAAGGAGTAGCAAAGCTCCTACGAAACCTAAATCCTTCCAAAGCGTCGGGGCCAGATAACATTCCAAATTGTGTTCTTAAAAAGTGTGCAGACCATATAGCACCAATTCTGAAACAAATCTTCAAGACCACAATAACAACCGGTGAGCTACCAGTAGACTGGCTAAGTACAAACATTTCCTGCATCTTTTCAAAAAGGGAGACAAACACTCAGCAGAAAATTATCGTCCGGTATCACTAACATCAGTACCATGTAAAATTCTAGAACACATAATATGCAAACCTATATTCAGATCATCTGGACTGACATAGGTAGCAGTGAACAGTAGCGTACGGTGGCCATGTTTGTGTAAAGATGTGGATTAATTAGGTTGCCTTACAAGCGTTAGCTGTAGGGAATTTCCCTTAAGCTCAGCGGTAGAGCATCGGGCTGGAGAGCCAAGGGTCGTGGGTTCGAGCCCCGACACTATCTTAATCACTTTTCCTCGTCCTATTACAAACTGGTGCCGTTGACCCTCCCCGTTCAAGGTAGGAGACCCTTGGCGGGGAGTCAAAGAACCTGGGTTGATATTTGAAAAAAAAGGGGGAATAGTGTAAAAGATGTGGATTAATTAGGTTGCCTTACAAGTGTCAGCTGTAGGGAATTTCCCTTTAGCTCAGCGGTAGAGCATCAGGCTGGAGAGCCAAGGGTCACGGGTTCGAGCCCCAGCGACGGCACTATCTTTATCACTATTCCTCGTCCTATTACAAACTGGTGCCGTTGACCCTCCCCGTTCAAGGTAGGAGACCCTTGGCGGGGAGTCAAAGAACCTGGGTTGATATTTGAAAAAAAAGGGGGAATAGTGTAAAAGATGTGGATTAATTAGGTTGCCTTACAAGCGTCAGCTGTAGGGAATTTCCCTTTAGCTCAGCGGTAGAGCATCAGGCTGGAGGGCCAAGGGTCACGGGTTCAAGCCCCAGCGACGGCACTATCTTTATCACTATTCCTCGTCCTATTACAAACTGGTGCCGTTGTCCCTCCCCGTTCAAGGTAGGAGACCCTTGGCGGGGAGTCAAAGAACCTGGGTTGATATTTGAAAAAAAAGGGGGAATAGTGTAAAAGATGTGGATTAATTAGGTTGCCTTACAAGCGTCAGCTGTAGGGAATTTCCCTTTAGCTCAGCGGTAGACTGGAGAGCCAAGGGTCGCGGGTTCGAGCCCTGGCGCCGGCACTATCTTTATCACTTTTCCTCGTCCTATTACATTTGTACAATGAACAACCCCTGTAATATTACATGTATCAAAAGTTTAAAAATATCAGCTCTAAAATAGGCATATACATGATGAATTGGACTATGTTGGCTTCACATTTTAAAAGAAAGAAAAAATCGATTTTGGCTTGAGACTACATTTTTGGCCATTTACGAATCTGTATCTACACAACAAAAGCTAGCTTTTCATGTACTCAGCACATGTGTAAATATTGTGAAAAAACTAATCTGACGACCTTTGCTAAAACGTGAGTATCTGTGACAGAGTAGGTGATATTTAATTTAAGACAGGTTTAAAGAAAAAAACAACTTGCGTGGGTTAAATTTTGGGTTAAAATCACGTCTTTTTGCATTTTTTGGCGGTTTTTGATGTGGTAACCATGGTTTTCACAAGTCCCAAATCTGGGGAAATCACTTTTTGAAAAAATATTCATTCTTCTAAAAGAAACGTTTTCAAAATATAGTTTATAAATATATATATATATGTAGGTGTGTTGTGCAGGATGAATCCGCTATCCATGTTTATCCGAGACATGCCCTTTATTTTTAGGGTCAATCCATTTCTACTGTACTCTGCTACCTTATACACAGACAATGATTTTTTCTGAAAAAAAGCTTTTTTATGCTTGATTCAGCATCACTTATTGCTTAAAACTACTCAAAAACGTTTTAAAAGTTACATGTATAGGTCAATATATAGGTCAATAGCCTATTACCTGTGGATGTATAAAGGGGGGTAACTCGCCCTGTACACAGGCACTTCACAATTCATCACATATGTATCAATTGTGTAATTGGTAAAGTTGATACCTGCAAACATCAAATAGTTTACAGGCTATCTCCTTATGCATTCAGACTAGATTTCAGTCTGTTTCACTCAGTTCCGCACCCGGTATCCATGGTTACTAGTACATAAAGTTGTATTTGTTGAAAATGGGTAAAATATCTGTTTTCATTCTAATTACACTATTTTAGATGGTTTTTTTCCACTTGATTCAGTATACAGATTAAATAAGCAAAGTCAGTAATGTCAATAAATTTTATTTCCATAATTACAGCTGAAGAAAATCTTTCTTTCTAGCAAAATATGTTAAATGAACAATTTCTGAGGATCTCTGTCAATTCTAGGCGAGGAAAGTAAATAACGGTTGCTATTGTAGCACTTGTCTGATGTTTCAGAATATCTGACATTTTGGTGCTGTTCATCGGTTACAGGAAGTGTGGCTGTTACTAGTTTGTTGTTGTGATGAGTTTCCTAGTACTCATTTTGATATCAGTGAGCCTTGATGATGTCATAGATGCCCATTGATGATGTCATATATATGATGACATCACAGTTACTATGACATCATCAAACAAGACAGAAACATCATAGTATCACTGTACTGTTTTGTTTTTTCACATGCACATGATCTCAAAGCATCATATTTCACCCAAAAAGAAATTTTATTCATAAAATCTACGAACCTAGTCAAGTTTTAATTTTTCAGTTTACCTCCCTTTATTGGTAGTTTGAGAGCAGAATTGGTAAAAATTCACCTGTCAGGAGTATTCATAGTACTCGGTCACTTTTAAAGTGAGAAAGGAAACGGATACATCTTTTTGTTCATCGTGTCATTTTCCAGACATTTAAAAGGATTTTATTTAAATTCTGGGGAAAAGAAAGTGATGTTTATGGTAGCAATGTACAGTAGCGTACGGTGGCCATGGGTGATATTTTTGTACAATGAATAACCCCTGTAATAATACATGTATCAAAAGTTAAAAAAAAAATCAGCTCTAACATTGGCATATACATGATGAATTGGACTATGTTGGCTTCACATTTTAAAAGAAAGAAAAAATCGATTTTGGCTTGAGACTACATTTTTGGCCATTTACGAATCTGTGTCTACACAACAAAAACTAGCTTTTTCATGTAGTCTATTTTTGTACTCAGCACATGTGTAAATATTGTGAAAAATCTAATCTGACGACCTGTGCTAAAACGTGAGTATCTGTGACCAAGTAGGTGATGTTTAATTTAAGACAGGTTTAAAGAAAAAAAATACTTCTTGCGTGGGTTAAATTTTGGGTTAAAATCATGTCTTTTTGCATTTTTTGGTGGTTTTTGATTAGGTTACCATGGTTTTCACAAGTCCCAAATCTGGGGAAATCACTTTTTGAAAAAATATTCATTCTTTAAAAAAAAACGTATTCAAAATGTAGTTTATAAATATATATGTAGGTGTGTTGTGCAGGATAAATCCGCTATCCATGTTTATCCGAGACATGCCCTTTATTTTTAGGGTCAAGCCATTTATACTGTACTCTAGCTGCTTCCATAGGGTACTTACATCTCTGAACCATGGCTTCCGATCAGGATACTCCCGTGAAACACAACTCATTACCACCATTGATGAACTACTGAGATCTTTTGACCGGGGCAAACAAATGGACAGACATGGCAATACTTGACTTCTCCAAGGCTTTTGACACAGTTCCCCATGACAGACTACTCCACAAGCTGGCCATGGAGTCATAAGGGATCAGAGGACCTCTGCATCAATGCATGGCTAAAAACCTTCCTAACTCGCAGGAAGATGCGGGTAGCCATAGAGGGATGAACAGTTCTAAGACCCCTACTCTTCCTTTGCTACATAAATGACTTGCCAGATTCTGTGAAATCAACAGTTAGACTTTTTGCAAATGACGTACTGCCTATACGTATACTCTATCGAGAAAAAATCTCAAACAAGGACCACAAAACAATTCAAGACGACCATAAACATCTCGAAACTTGTGAAGCGTGAAAAAAGGAATACACGGCAGAGTAAATTCCATGACTAAGAGACATAAATACCAATTCCAAATTCAATCAGGAACAATAACAGAGCAGTGATAATACCTAACAGTAACACGGAATAATACAGAAACTCATTCTTTATGCAAATTAACAGCCACAGATTGGAACCACCTCGACGACATCATAGTCGGGGCGCATGGAATAGAGGCATTTAAAGCATCAATCCATACCAACTGGGATTAAATGAAGCTAGGTATCGCATGCGTACTTAACCCCCTCCACATTAAAGCCATTTTGCTCTCTGTGGAGTAAATATAACATATAGATATAGATATATAGACAGCATACACCTTGTCCTGAAGTTTTTTCCGATAACACGTAGCTCATCAAACAGGAAAACAGTAACTTATCATTAACAACAACTTAATCATTAACAACATTTAAACTGATATTTATTTCTTTAAAAAATATTTATATAAGGGCTAAAACAACTTGATTTTGGACGAAACGACCGGAGCTGTCCAGCTCCAAAAGGCAGAGTCAGAGACTGCTGCTGTACAATTATGTTAAATATATAAGTAAGAAGAACATAATTTTTATTATCATTTATGTCGCAAGGAAACACGAACCTGAGCTAGTTAAGCTACATAGCAGAAAATTGGTGTCGTTTGACAGTTACAGAGTGCGAGAAGTCCGTCAAAACCGGTAACGCGCGGATATCATTAATTGGATATACGTACTGTAGACGACATTAGTAGCAGTTCGATACTTACCGACTAAACTTTAGTTTTGTCTTGTAACCATTCGCTGTGTTTGTTTTACTGTTCAAGCTGGTTAAACATTAATGCCATATTTACATCATTGTAACTTTTAAGGTAGCTGCAAATGATCGTGGTTTCGTACCCGTGTGTTCCGAGATCTCCTTGGAAAAAAATCCATGTTAAACAAAAGCTTGGACAAGACATATATGCATGCTTTCGTTAAAACATTTTCGTTACAGTGACAATGTTATTAGGAAGTGAGAGTGAAAACCGGAAAACCTCCAGCCCCATGAAGCCTTTTTGTTCAAGATTTGGAGTCAGATTTGACAACTCTTTGAATGCTGATTGCAAGGTATAAATTAACAGGAAGATCGCATTTCCCTTTTCGTTATAGTTGAGTAGCCTTAATAATAATACATGAAGTCATGATCATCAGTCGACAATGATCGCAATGTAAAATACAAATCTAAATGAAAACCACTAACGTTAGCCACGACAGACGCCGGAAATGATTGAGTCGCCCATTGTGTATTTAAACGTTTAATTTAACAGTTTGAGAATTTCAACCTTCCGAGATTGTCTGGGGTTCGGGAGTTTTTTACGCCATGGTTGAATGCACTTTATCTGTACTTTCGTTTTTAAGATATTTCATACAGCGTCATGTCAGCGTATATAGTTTGTAATTATATATATATATAATGGGCTCATAAGTTTCCTCAAAATGAATATAAAGTATGGAAGGTTGCTTCGTATACCAATGTCAAGAACAATGTCAATAATTACCTTGCAGAAGTTATTTGTCGAAATGTTGTAAATTTTGTCTGAAAAGTAACTTTTGATTGCAGAATTTGAGTGGCGCAAAAAATTGCAATAAATAATGAAATTAATGAAAAAAATACATGTACAAATAATTGTATTCACTATTTAATATCGAGAAAAATGTTAGAAAATGTGACAAATCTCCAGAATGATGGCATATTTATATGTTTCCACTGAATAAATCATAACTGAGCACAAAATTAAAGCCAACAAGCCTGACTGAGGTTGGAAAAAAGCATGCAATGCAAGAGAGATTTTACCTGTAACACCATTTACTAAAAGTTCTCACTCAGGTTATCTGGCGTGACTTGTATCAATACATTGTAGCCTTATTAGCTTTATTCCTGATTGAAGTTTTCAACCAAATTTCATGAAAACCTAATTTAAATTACACATTTATTAATTCTGAAACCAATTAAAAACAATGTCATATGTTCAAGGTCAGAACTACAGAATCTTTTCTTGACGATAGGAAAAACACTTCATCAAATATTTCCATTCGTATATGCCCACCGAATGACAGGACTTATTATTTTTTCACGTGGGTGGGGGGGGGGCACACATTAGTTTCCACTCAATAACTTGAGTAATTTTGACTGGATTCATTTCAAACATGGTAGGAAGGTTCATCATTGCTATGAAAGCTCGCCCAAGTTTGATAACCAAAATTATTTGTCAGTTATTTACGGAGTTATGGCCCTTTGTAGAATTGACGAAACAGTTTCCGCTCAATAACTTGAGTTATTTTGAATAGATTCATTTCCAACTTGGTAGGAAGGTTCATCATTGCTATGAAAGCTTGCGATAACCAAAATTTATTTGCCAGTTATTTAGAGAGTTATGGCCCTTTGTAGAATTGCCAAAACAGTTTCCGCTCAATAACTTCAGTAATTTTGAATGGAATAGTTTCAAACTTAGTAGGGAGGTTTATTGCCATGAAAGCTCGGACAAGTTTGATAACCAAAAATATTTGTCGGTCATTTATGCAGTTATGGCCCTTTGTAGAATTGATGAAACAGTTTCCGCTCAATAGCTTCAGTAATTTTGAATGGATTTATTTCAAACTTCATAGGAAGGTTCATTTCTATGAAAGCTTAATTGCACAAGTTCAATAACCTTTATCCACCTGTTATTAAGGGAGTTATGGCCCTTTATAGGATTGACGAAACAGTTTCCGCTCAATAACTTCAGTAATTTTGAATAGATTCATTTCAAACTGCAGCGATATTTTACGGACTTACAGCCTTTTGTAAAATTGTCGGAACACAATTTCTGCGCAATAACTTTATGCACTTATGGCCTTTTGTGGCGAACTGCTCATTTGACATCTGACGGGCGTATCATGTACCGCTTCGCGGAACTATTGTTGTAAAACTTTATTTCTTCACACCATATATAGCATGTAGTGTTTATTTTTCACTTACTAGCACATAATCATATACATACATCTTCAACTACCATCACTACCCCATGAAAGTAGACTATCAATCAAGCTACCACCAGTGGTGTTGGCAGCCTTAATACAATTTGTGTATGTACTGTTTAAATTTATGGTTCTCTTGTTTCTCGCTGTCACGTAAATAATGTTGTCTTTAAGGTTTAAAGGTCCTGGGAAAATGGATTGAGTTCCTTCCACAGAAACCTTTGCTGTCATGGTCTGTTGCTATGAAATTGGCCAGCTTCTCTTTCACCAGAAAAACACTGTTTCTGCATGGTAGTGATACCTGATCAACAAAGTCTAAGGGTAAGTTTCTTGTATACACTATACATGTACCTTGGATATTTGGACATATCTCCAAATTACCAGTTTTACTTAGCTTATTATCTGTAGGTTTAGCCAGACTTTCTGTTAATTCCTTCAGTTAGCTGCTGTCTAGTATCAGTGAAAGGTTTGAATGGAGTTCTCTCCCTGACTTTTTACTCAATATTGGTTTTTCTTTTATTCACGTAATTAGATGACATCCCACTTTCTATACCTGCCATTTTCACAGTACATGTATTTTTGATCAAACTCATGAAAACATTTTGCTTAATTTTTATAGTAAACCAGTGAAGACAATGAACGGCACAGTTATTCCAGGGACCCCGATTGCAGTGGACTTTTGGAAGATCAGAGAATGCCCAACTGCAAAATTGTTTTTTCTTACCCATCTCCATGGTGACCATACTGTTGGCCTTTCATCCTCATGGAGACATGTAATTCATTGTTCACCAATGACAGGAGAGCTCCTGACTCATTTATATGGAATCAATGAATCTCTGATACAACCTTTAGAAGTCGGTACTTCACATATCCTTGACCTTGACAGCGTCAATTGTGAGAAAATGTCGGTAACAGTAATTGATGCCAATCATTGTCCTGGCTCTGTCATGTTCTTGTTTGAAGGCTATTTCGGCCGTATATTACATACAGGGGATTTTCGTTTTTGTGATGAACTGATCGACGAATCAAACAAAATGCTGTTTAATGACATTGACCTGTTGTATCTTGACAATACATACTGTTCTCCGCAATGTGCTTTTCCATCTCGAGATTCTGCTCTGGATGAAATCGTGTCCGTGATAAACTCTCATCCTCATCATTCTGTGGTTATTGGAATGCGTAATCTTGGGAAAGAAGACATGTTGGCTAAAACAGCTTTGAGATGTAAGGAATGGATCTCAATTCCAGCTACGATGATGCAACGGGTCAATCTTCTGAATCTGCCTAACGTGTTTGTTACAGACGATGAGAGCTGCAGAATACGAGTGGTGAGATTTCACACGATTTCTAAAAGGAATATGGCATTGTGGAACAAGGTCACTCCGACCATAGCCATCCTTCCAACAGCTCTTTATCAGGGGATGGACTTTAACAGTTTTGGAAACATGTCAAATGTGTTTATTGTGCAATATTCAGATCATAGCTCATATCAGGAACTATATAATTTTGTGTCTGAGGTGAAACCACGTAAAATAATTCCTGTTGTTGGGGCAAAAGCAAGGGGACCATTTGGCGTTGACATTTCTGACAGGGCTAACATGAAATGTTTTTCACATCTTTTGAATAAAAGTGATAATCTTGATAAAATGTCTGACATTCCAGAATCTGTGCAAAAATTGATGCATAATGGGTCTAGTAGCCATGGTAATGGAGGAGGTGGTAGACTTACAAAACCTTGGAAATTTAGGCACAAGAAATCTTCAACATCCTTAGAAAGAGGTGTGGTGTTCTCCGGAAATGATAATAATGAAGAATGTGAAAGAATAGAAGATCATCAATTGTCTACGAAAATTTCTCATACAGTGACAAATATTCGTAGTAATAGTAGTAATTCAAACAAACGAAAAAAGAAAAAAAATTCAGAAACATTGGACAGTAACATTAATAGCCAATCACCGCTATCACATAAGATGGAACAAAAAAGCTACAGACCACAAGTGAAGGAAACGCTACTCGACAAATGGCTGTCTGTGAATGATGTGTGGAAGAAAGAAGGGAATCCGCATCATCAACTGAATAGACCATACTTTTCCAAGACAAGTTCTAGAAACTGCTTTATATCAAAGACACAATCAGCAGAGAAGCCTAGGAATGAGTGTAGCATAACATCTTCAAATTCACAGGAAGTAGCAAATGACACTTCAAGCAAAACTTTTATCCTGGAAGTGAAACAGGATGCTGATATTGAGGATGTGATCATTCTTGATGACACTAGCAGTGATAGTACACATTAATCACAGTCACAGCAGAGGGGAGATAACTCCACAATGGATTATAGCTATGTTGACGATTCTGAAGACTTTGTGACAAAAGAACAAGACAGTCAAGAGATACAAGATAATAAGACCTTAAAAACAAATCACCAAGAATCAGGTTCTTCTTGTGAAGGTGATCATGACCTTTCCGTTAGAGCTTATTTTAATTTATCTGACAAAATTGATTCTCATTGTCTGCATTCTCCTAAAGCTGGTCTCTCATGTATATCCACTGAAAGCCATGTCACACAGGTGAAAGGATATATTCAAGACGCAAAATGTGATCAAGTTTATTCTTGTAAACCTAAACAACATGTTGTAAAACCCTCTAAACAGGGATCTGAATTTGAACATAAACCTGAATTCAAGCTCTCTGTGAAGCCGTTGGCGTTTGGGAGAAAAACATTTTTTCGAAGACAATCCTCTACCTCAAGAGAGAACAACAGAAGTGTGTTGAGTGTGATGCCTTTGGATCAAGGAAAGTGAATATTAGATGCACCTTCTGATATAAACTGTTAGTTAGGGTTGGTTAAGGTAGGTATAGGTTAGGATAACGTCAAACATGTAGTCTCCTATTGAATACAATCTTAGTTCAGTTAATATAAAATAACTGCATTTGGAACTGTAAAGTACATGGTCCCTAACATAGGTGGTCTCTGCATGTTTAGTTACTTTAGCATGTGCACTGCTGTCAGTTTGAAAGATGCAGAGCCTTTTTCATCATTGTTTAAAGAAGGTAATATTTGTTTTAAAAAAGGTAGCTAAATGCTTAAGTATAAACTTGAATACCCCGATAAGGATACAAATGATTGTTTTATAGTAGCAAATTTTATCCTTTTTTCTAACACTCTTCTCTATATCTGAGCCATAACCAGTAAAACTTCCATCTGTCGGCACTTCAGAATCTGCTATAGCAAACATACATTGTATAATTTATAATATAGGTGAAAGATGAAAGTGACTTTTTTAGGGCTCAGTATGCGCACTTAAAATAGCTACAGTGGTCTAATGAGGTATCAAAGCAGGAACACCAAGGTATTAATAATATAATGTGCCAAAAAAATTGATGTTTTTGTGTTTTTTCTTCATTCTCATTGATTAGATTTTAAAAGGTAGGGTCAACGCCTATGGAGATTTAACATTAGCGTCGGCCCCCCACTTGGAATTTCAAAACAAGATAAATCCAAAAAGGTATGGGTATAGGAAGCTTAAATCAGGAACAGTTAGTTTCAGAATTCATTTGATGATAAATGAGACCTCCTTGACTTACACCTGTGTGGCTGTTAAAGGTGCAGTAATACAATTCCTCCTAGAGCATTTAAATGGATTAATGTCTATAAATTTATATCATCATCGTGTGCAACGTACGTATTTCAACTGTTATTTTGATACCGAATATAACACTATTTCAAGAAAGAATTGTTCTTTTTATTTAAGAATTAAGCAGAAAAATGTGTGAAATTTCATTCCTAATGAGAAATTTTCCATTTTTGATACGTTAATTCATATAGTTCTAAAACTAGTCTATTTTTCTTACTTGTTAAAAAGTTGGCTACCAATAATATCTTTCAACATCAGGAATTTCCAAAAAAAGGAAAACCAGTAAATTTGTCATATACTACTATCATAATTCATTTCCAAATTAACATTTGCCTGTGATATTTATCGGTCATTTTGTTAGGATACCGGTACCCCCGTCACTCAACCTGGTGTTATGCAAGGAGGTCCACTACGGTTATCAGTAACAATTATGAATAATCATTTATGCAGTTATTGATCATTTTTATGTATCTACATATGGCAAAAGAATATAGGAAATCAAAGTGGGGGCCAAATGTTGACCCCACCTTTAAGACAGTGGTAGATCTAGAGATTGATCTTTGTTTGGAGGGGGGGGGTCTGAATGAGAAAAATCGGAAAATTACATACATATATAGTTTTATAGAAAATTGGAAGGATTTGGGTGTGTCTTCTATTAGTCCCAAAACTCATATCTAGATCCAGATCTTTCAAAATGGTAAACATTGCAGTTTATTAAATGTGAATATTTGATATAAAATTACCATTTCTGGAGAAATATTTAGTATTTAGTATTTAGTATTTATTTAAATATATCAAAAATAAATACATTGCATGTTTTGACTATGCAGTTTGTACTATAATGTTTAATTGATTTAGTTCAGAATATATTTTTGAATATTTAGGAATCTTATTGTGTAAAGTAATGTTATTCTTTGCTTGTTTGGGAAGAAAATTGCATGCTAAATTTTTATTTGTTTCAAATCAAATTAATAGTTGTCTGGAGATTTCACTGCTTCTTTACAGAGTAAATATTTTGGTATATATGTACTTAAACTGCTCTATTTAATTTAAAATTTCATAAGCAAAACAAAAACATAAACATAAACCAGGAAATATTTACATTCTGTATGCTTAGACCCATTGACAAAAATTACATTCATAAATGCATAACACAGGTGTTCATAGAATCTCAGCACGTGGAAACTGATAGTAACCTGATCACACTGCGTAGTAATACACTACAAAAACTACTCACTCGGAACGACCGACCTAGATGCTTAATTCTTACATCTTAAAATATTATTGAACTGTGCTTTGTGAAATATCCACGTATTCACGTGTCCTGTGCTACAAATAAACATTGAATATGGAACTACATTTTGTTGTGTTATTGTTGTTGACGGTTGCTAAGATCTCTCACGATAGTGTCACATTTCCCCGCGAAAAAACACTGTTCTCGCCACTGCGTTGCACCCGTGTATAAGCAGGAACAAACCCTGTTTATTTGTTTTATTCGTTGTTATATCGATCCACTGAAAGGATTCGTCAATGTAAATATAAGGAATGATATTTATTTTTTCAACATTTATGAGGTCATAACAACAATGGGTTTTTGGACATATTTTACATGAATCGCTAACGCGATTCATTCAATATGTCCATAAACCCATTGTTGTTATGACCTCATAAATGTTGAAAAAATAAAAATCATTCCTTAAAGGACTGTTGATTTTACTCCCTTAGAAATGATTTGATTTTTCACATTCTATATGTATACCCAAAATGTGTATACATGTTTGCTTATACACATGCATTGTGAAGATATGTGGTCATTTTTCAGTGATATAATATGTATAACTTCTCATGGTTAGTCTATTATTATTTTCAATATTGTATGTAAGTCTGACTACGGATGATGTTGTGAATACTATGAATCTTATAATGTTTTTACAAAACTAAGTGATCATGAACAGAACAAGTAAAGCTATTTACTTTAAGATCATTTGAGAATGTAAAACCTTATGCTGAACATGGCACTTCAATTGGAGGAAATGGTCAAGAGATGCTCAAGTTCTTTAATTTTATCGATACATGTACATAACAATCACATTTTTTATTTGAATTATATTTGATTAACTGTAAAACATGATGTCTGTCTGTCTCTCTGCAGGATACAGATTTCTTACTCTCTGCAATATACAAATTGCTAATTACTGCCATTATAGTAACTGTCTGTCTGTATGATATCAGAGATTCATGTTGGAATTATCTCCCTTGATAATTGTTGCTTAAGTTGCATTCTTGTGGACGTTTACACGTGTCATCATTGGGTATACATGGAGCTCTTTTTGGAAAGAGATTCAGGTCTCAGGTTCTCTTTGCTTACTTTTGGTTCTATCTGTTTTTTCAACAAAACTCTAAGTCTATATTTCCTTAGAAATCACAAATATAATTTTAAAGATGTTCAACCGGTTTGACAACTAATAATTACAAAACTTTTCTATGAAACATGTTTACAATTAACGTGGAAAATACAAAACACAACCATGATTAATTATCGAAATTCTAACCCGTGCTTGTTGTATATCCGATTACCCCTACATAGTTTTATACCAGTTTTGGAGAAAACATGTTAAAGGTCTATGTTTGGGAGACATACACAAAAGCACATTGACATTTGTACTGAAGTATGTTCCACACCACATCTTGTTTTTCACATTGTATTTTGTCTCCAGTAGATGTTGATTGTTAGCTTCCTAGTGACGCACTACGTCGGGAGAACGTCCGCGACTTAAAATCAACGTTGTGAGGATGCGATTTTCCAAACGTCAGGGCAACGTTTGAAAATGACGTTGTAATAACGTTGTGCTAAGGTTACTTTACTAACTTTAGTGTTTTAGATAAAGTCACTTTAAATAAAAAGAAATACGAATACTTTGTAGTTTGTATGATCAGTATACACATTGATCGTAGCGACGCGATTGAGTAAAACTGAGATGTATGCGGGAATTATTCACTTTAATTTTATAAACTAGATATTAGTTTCTGTATCTAATAAGATATTTCCAAAGACATACCATTTATGGAATATAACATTTAAAAAAATTATTCCTGTCATAGCTTTACAAACATTTCAATAACGATAAGACGGTTCTTACTGAAGCAGTTATATAACGATAGCAGTTTGGTACTGTCTCTCCTTATATAAATTTAAAACAATCTGTTTTTTATTGTTGACATCAGTAGCATCCGAGTTGCTTAGAACATATCATTAATATAAGAATATTTGCATTATAAATGTTTAAATTGATGTATAAAGACACGGGGGGAGGGGGGTGTCACAAACTGACCACTGGTCATAGGGAGTCACCCAAACTAGATCATTAATAGCTAGCTTCACAGTCTTAATGTTTGAAGATGTTTCAATATCAACTTCGTTAGTTAAGTTATTGTAGAAGTTTTTTCGTACAGTTTACATTTTGACACTTTTAATATCTATTTTCAAACAAATAGACAGAGCTTGTGCAAGCATCTGACTCGTGCATTCTCGTGTTAGTAAATTATTTGTGCTAATGTGTGGTCCAAAAACGTTTTGTGCACTATTTCAAAATGCAGTATGAACGGGAAAAAAATATGAACTCAATTAGTTAATGTTTACAAACGTATTCAAACTGCCAATTAAACATTTACACTTGTAACGCTGTGTTTAAAAAAAAAAAATATTCAATTGCATTACATGGGTCGTTACAAATGTCGTAAATACATATGCTATGCTGATGTGTTTCGAACATAGGATAAACCCAACTTGCATGTTTATCTTAACCTCTCCAGTGTGAAAACTTGTATATATGTTGTAGAATGGAAAAGCTTTGAAACATTTTTAATATTATGCTAGCTGTTCTTTTCTTGTCAGTTTTTATCAATTAGAACCAAACAAGGTGTGTGTGTGTGTGTGTGGGGGGGGGGGGGGGGGGGGGGGGGGGGGGGGAGGTTGCAGGGACAGCTAGAGACACAGAGACACATTTAAAGAAACTGCCATGCGAATCCTCCAATAAAAGATGTTTGGGATGTCATTGAGCATTGACGGAGCTAAAAAAACCCACTAAAATATTAAAAGAACTTCCTCAAGTGTTAATGCAAGGAATGACTGGATCTTTAATGAATTATGACGAAGTAAGGGAACCCTCATTTAAACACATGGTAAAAGGATATAAAAGGTCGGGTAAAAGGAAGCATTAACTATATGACAAATATTTCGATCATTTACGATTCATCAGTGGTTCAAAAGATAAACATAATTGTTACCTGACTCGCTATATAAATGTATATTAATCAATTTCGACTGTTTCCCAGACCATTCACCAAACGAAGTATAGCTAATGTGTGCTAGCGTAAAACTGTTAACTGGTCACGTGATGTACTGGTGCTTGCTACCCTACGACTGCATGTTGACAGGTCACGTGTAAGGTAATTGAACGCACCTATAATTACAAGCACCCCGATGATCAAGCGTTTTTGGTACTGGATTGTTGACGGTCGTCTGTCGGTAGATTCGACATGGAACCTTTTGATTTTCATTGGTCGAGTAACAAAACAGTTGTAACATGCCTTATCAGTCAACATTCAAAACCATTTTCTCTCGGAGTTGGGACCCACCAGGCTCGGGAAACAGTTCATCTGGTGGGTCCCATCTCCTCGGGGAAATATTTTTTACTATTGACTGATAAGGCATGAAACAACTGTATACTGTCTGATGTAGATATAGGTATACAGCAAACGGGTAAACATACCTGTCTGATGTATATATACAGCAAACGGGTAAACATGACTGTCTGATGTAGAAATACAGTGATGTAGATATACAGCAAACGGGGAAACATAA